AACAATGCAAATGAACCATATTTCAAATTGATTACATAACTAAAAGGAACAGCAAAAATCAACCCACTTTTGTGGAAATCTAGAGACATTCTTAAGACACTGTTTCTTGGCTTCTTGCTGGCAATCAAACTCTTCTCAATGTAACTTCTTTTTTCTCGGTCAAGAAATAACATTGCCCTGAAGTAAAAATAAAATAGTTATCAATCCAGTACTGTTTTAAACCTTGGCCTTATTAGAATGATGAACTACAACATGGCATTTGAACTGCAAAGTTACATAATATATTCAGTGTATTATGGAAAAAGTACAAGGTGCAACACAACTAATTGCTTGAATATGGTTTCTGTAGAAGCAAGCTTCACAAGGAGCAGATTCCTGATTTCATCAGATGCAACATCACGGCCTGTAGGATATTTGAGCAGCTGCTTCCTTACACTTGAACTTCAAAATCTGTGTACTTTTTAATCTTATTAAGAAAACAGTCCAAATCCAAAAGCAGGACAACCATTGCAGTTTTGCCAGAATTCTCACACTGCTGCTTCTGCCTCTTTAATGCTTTATCCCACAGTTCTGATTTGTCCTTGAAGAACTGCAGCTTGTAGGGAATGCTGGGAGCTCTGCTCCTGTATTAAGTGATTGTGTTTAGTGTGCATTTACAGAAAACAGAAGCAAAGAATTTAAATACCTGTACAAAAACCCCTGCCTGATATTTTAGATCACAGCTATCAAAACCTAAAAACACATTTGGCAGACATCTCAAGTGTTTACTCAGCACTGATTACAGGCATTGGGCTGTACAAGGGTTTTCTTGTAACCCACCGATTTGCTGCAGACCTCAAAAGCATAAGAAGCTGGTCTGTGTGCTCCATTTCTGTATCAAAGTTCATGGAATTTCTAATGATCTCCAAAAACTGCATATTCCATCTTGGGTCCAGAGGCATCACATGTTCATCTGGAAAGGCAGACAAGACAGGACAGCAGTGAAATGTCACTCAGTTATTTTCTTGGTCCCTCTGCCTATGCAAGAACATTAGGGAAAGAAAGCAGCCTAGGAGGAAGGCAGTCAAACTCTCTCACTCCAGGTATCCAAAGAGAAAAGCATTAAAGCTGACTGCAGGTTCTGTAAAACAGAACAGTGACAATAAATTAAACAGGGGCTAAAGCACCCAAACAGAGCTTAGAAACCCAAGTCTGGCTCACAGTCCAGGCAAAACATCCAGGACAATGCATAAAAGGCCCAGTGTCACTGTATGCAGTTTTCATGCACCCAACAAGCTTGGAAAAGAAGCCACAGGTCTGGGCTCCTGACAAAACACCAAGGGATAATTGCAGGCCAAACTATGGGTTTCAGATGGGCTAACACAAATCTCGAGGAAAAAAAGACGAGGGTGCCTATACTATCAAGTCAGAAAGGCAGCGAATATTTGAATCACTCTTCAGAACATGACTCTGAGCTGTAAGAATACATCTGAGTCACAGATACACAGCCAGGACTCATGGGCAGAGCACTCATCTCTAACTTGAATAGTATGAATGCATCTAATTGCCATATTTGCTGCTCTAGACAGCAAGAATGTTTGCATTGGTTGTGATTTCTTTTTTTATTTTTTTATTAGTTGTACTTTCTTTCATGACCAAGACAACATATGTTAAGAATTTGGCCTTTGTTTTGCTACATACATTTCCTAAGAAGGGTTGCAGTGTGTTCAGAAAACAAATAAAGGAAGCAATGTCTTACATTCATCCTTTTCAGGAGTACCTGTCATAGTTGGCTGTAGCAACTTGATCATGTTACTGACTCCAGATGAGAGGGGACTGGCATAAAAACAGCCAAGGGCTACAGCACCTGCTTCCAGCTGAATCCGCACTGAATCTGCAGATGAAGAAGGGAGAACATGGGCAAAAAAGAGTGTTTAGTACAAATCAAGTAAAATAGCTTCCACTGAGCCAGTACAAGCAGACTGAATCAAATCTGCACATGCACGCTGGATATGCTGGTTGGTCATATTTTCTATTAGCTCCAAAAGGTCTTAAAAGCACCAGAATGTCACAGCTGAAGACATAAATCCTATAAATCCTTATATTCCATAAATATAAGGAATTCTAGTTGAACTGGCAATACTACATGTATGCTAGTATATTATGGTTTCTGAAAATCCATGAATTTATACCTTCAAATCCTCCTCTCAATACATCTTTTTTGGGGGGGAGGGCAGTTACTTTCTTTACAATAAGAAAAGAAAGAGCACAGTTTTCATTAAAGTATTTTTTACATATTTTCTACTTTACAGACCTACCTGCCTGAAAAGATGGCAAAATAAAGGGGAAGTAATTAATAGAGGGACAGCATAGTCAGATTTCAGACCATAGAAGAAAGCTAAATGTGTGAATTATTTGGACTAATGCCTGCCTAAATGTTCCAAAAATAACTAACTCAGAAGTAACACAAGTTACACAAATGGTTGAATAATAAAGGACAATGTTTAGCCCAAATCACCTTATTTCCCTAACACACAACCTAATGCACAACCTGTTTCTGTCCCTCCCTGGAGCCTCCATGCCCCTGAGTTAGTGTGAATAGTTGAGAGTCTCCATAACTCATAATTTGGAATGGTCTGGATATTTTCATAGAAGACTTACCATTTGCAAAACATAACAACAACTCAGCCCTCAGACAAAACAAAGTTAAATGATTACATACCAAGCCCTTGTGGCAGATTTTTGGCTAAGGAGTTAAGCCATTTAACTCTTAATTTCCAATCTTGATTGGTCGCCTTTTCTATGAACAATTTCACTGAAGCCTGGAGAACTTCCATATTGTCCATCCAGTTTGCATCTATCTCAACAGCACTGAACTTGAGACTCTCAGGATTAGTGCACTGCATAACTTTCTTCAGATCTTCCAGAGTCACTGGTAATGTCCTGAAACACAAAGAAGTCCAGCAATCAAGGGCTTGAGTTGCCAGATCCAGGAAAAAATATATTTTGCAGGTCAAGCTACACAACCATCTTTAGGCATCAGTGTGGCAATGCAATGATCTTTCCTCCTTTATTTAGCTTTAAAACCAGTTTCCAGCTTCAAATCAGTTAGTGGTGTCTACTATTAGGACCTCACAGTTGCAAAATATTCATGCACTATCCCAAGAGCATATGCACATAATATCACTGAGAAATTTTAATTGATTTGTGCACCAGAATGATATGCAAAGTTAAATTTAAAGAGACAAATATTGGAAGTGTCATTGAGTAATAAATAAACAACCACACTGAATAAAAATAGCAAACAACACAGCATATTGCTAAGAGTTTACAATTTCAACTTCTTATCTTAGTACAAACTTCCACAGCTTGTTCTTTCACTGGAAGCAACCTACAGTAGCTGTCCAGAGTAGGTTATTAAACAAAGAAAGCAGAAACAAGTTTTTGCACCAGTGTTGTAAAAATTAACAGCTATATTGTACAATAAATAATTATAAAAATTCTTTCATATACCCCCTGTGTGGCGGGTATAATGCTTCTTTCAGACAGCTCTGTCTGAAGAAGGAGATTTGTATTTTCACCTGAAGCTACTGGACCTAAAATTATTGATGAATAATTGACTACATGAAATTAGGAAATCCAGAGAATCATTAGTACTTAAACTAGTTCAGTGCTCAAGTCTTTTAAAGCCTAGAAGGAAACTGAAGGAAGAGATTTTGGGGCTCTTATTACCTACTAAATCCAGTGTTTGCACTTATATTTTCTCCTAAACAACTCTCAAAATGAGTCAAATGCACTAACTGAAGATTAAAAAGCCAAGTATTTTGAATGTATTTGGAAGACTTAAGAATAACACAGTAAATAATTAAACTTTCATTTGCAGTGGTTGTATGGAACAGTAACAGGAACACAGTTACAGAGTATGACAATCACAGTCTCTACCTGCACAATTTGATGAAGACAGGATTTTGCAATAAGCAATGATGTGCCATGAATAGTTCACATATATTATTTCTCATTTACTAGACAAAAAAAAAAAAGTTTCCTTCCTACCTGCAGTTTCTGAGGTTCAGTCTGTGCAGACAATACATCAGGACCTGTCCATCACTCTGGACTGTGGAAAGGAGTGAGTCTTCAGCTGCAAACACACCCGAAGGCAGGGAGTCTGGCCACAATCCCACTGCCAGCAAGGACTCACCCCAAGTGTCAGGGGAAGTCAGAGTTGAAGCATGCCTTGTAACCAACTCTAACACAAGCTACAACAACCAACCAAAAAACAAGCTTAGAGTCACACAATGTATGTGTTATGTAACATGCATTCAAGCACCACAGTTCAGGAAACTTTAATTACATGCATTTATGATGAAGTTATTATAGACCAAATCTTCTACAAACACTACATAATGTACACAGTAAAATAACCAAAATATTCCTACCAGAATGAAATAACATACTGTGCAGTTTCAAACATTGTCTACAGGTGACAGTGTGCACATTGTTACAGGCTACAGATAATCAGCATGAATATCCCAAAGTCTCAGCTGAAGCTGTTACAAACTACAAACTTCAGAGTCCAAACAGGATATTGTCTGCATCATCTCTCCAAGAGCACCATCTTTATCAGTCTCTTGCTGAGGCACTTAAAACAGAGGATCTCTAACACTAGACTCACGAAGTTACATTTTTCACTTATAAGAAAAGCTTTCAAATATAGGATTTTTACCTTTTGGTTAATCTGCAGTTGTTGTGAGCGGCCATAAACTTCCCAACAGGCTCTGTAAAAAGACTTTGCTAATCCAAAGCCTCTTTTTATTTGCTGCACAATTAATACAGCAGCCTGAAGCAAAGGTGACAAAGATGACACAGAACCTGAAAGATACACAGCAATTTGAATTAAACAAATGTTTAGCAACTGTCAGCCCTTTAATCTGACAAACACCACTTTTGGTGTCATGATACAAAACAAATACATCCTTTTGACCTGAAAGCTGAATAGATTCTTTCCGAGGTTGACAAGAAAATCTTACAAGACTGTAAATAACAGATAACCAGCTCATAATAAGACATCAAACAGATGAGATGAATGAAACTCATCTGCAAAATACACCTTGTGCAAACACTCTATTTTGCTGATTTTCACTTTGAATACATTGCCTTCCCGATAGCAAGGGGAAACAGACATGTGTCAGTGTCTGATATTTCCCTAACAAAGCACTGTAGTTACCCCTTTTTCATGACTTGGGCCTACTTCCTGGGAAGGCAAACAACCAATCCAAAAGTACCTGATTATAGGGTTTTTTTTAATGTGCTTATTCACAGCAGCACAGAACACAACAAAATAACCAGGGTTTAATACTAAAGACTTCATCCATATATATGTAATGAGCCCGTGTTGCTAAAAAATACTGAACAGACTTTTTTTACCTGCTATTGTTGCCTTGGTATCTCCAACTAAACCCAAGCCATGCAGGAGTAACTTCAAATCCAGACTGTCCAACATATTTCCATCATTCTCCCCAGGAATGTAAATTTCAATCCCACGATTCCGCATGGCTCTGGATATTTCCCCATGAACTGGATCCATAGAAAGGAAAAGCCTATTGGATATTAGAAAAGAATAATTCAAGTTGGAAAGGATCTACAATAATCATCCATTTCAACTGCCTTAAATTCTTAAGATGTAACTTAGGTCCTTAAACTATCCCTCTGGAACTACCAAATCTGCTTCTCCATAAAGTAAATTCATCTTCATAAAAATAGGGACACAATATCTAGAAATCCAGAGACAACTACTGAATTTAAATGAGAAATCTGTATGAACAGTTATACTTTGTAATTAGACACAGATATTCTGCATGATTTTAAACTCATTATTATCTGAGTTATGTCTGTTTTATTATTTGCCAACTTACAAAGAAAAGTTAGACTATGCCTCTGAGCTATAAAGCCTTTTAAAAGACTTAGCAACAGCTTCAAATAAATCTGTGCTATTTAAAAACCAAATTATCCAACATCTAAGTAGTTAATATTACCAACAGACACCTCTTAAAACCAAGGAGGAAGAAGTACTTCTGAGATACAATGTAGTGAAAAGAGGTTTCTGAAGAGTCAAGAATGTTTCCAATTCAGAGAAACAAGAGCACATCAGCCTCAATATCCCTGTCCCGAATTTGTAACAGGAATTATACAGAACCCTGTCATGCTCTCCTCCCATCTTCCCCAGAGACTACTTCAGGTCTGAGAAAACAGACTATCAATTTAGGTGGTTTGTTGGGGCTTTTTTAAGTCCTGTCACTGCAGGAAACTTAAATTTATATATGGGATGGAAAAAGCTAGGGAGGAAATTACTATGCCCATATACCAGCTTTCATAATCAGCATATCTCGATGCATGTATCCTCAATTTCATTACAGTGAAACAGGGAAGTGCTGAAATCCTACATTAGAAATGCAAAATCAAGGCAGAGGCACAATGCTATGAATTTTCCTGTGTAATAGTTTGTGTTGCAACAGGGATATAAAGCAAAGCCTCTTAAGCTCTCTTTTATATGCTCACAGTGCAGTTTTCTACCCTACAAGAGTGCCACTACACTACATGGCAAACTAAACAGCATTCAAAATATCAAGACTGGCTCACTGATGATATTTTTATTCTAAACCCGCTATTTGACAAAGGAGGGGAAAAAAGGGAACATCAAAAAGCAGAAATAAGTACCTGAAGTTTGGATGAGGAGCTATGGTAGGAATCGTGCCATCTATGACACCTCTCTCACTCATGGTCAGAACACCTCCTGGTTCAAGCAAAGCATTCAAGCGGTCCAGAACAGAAGGGCTACATGCAAAACAAATTCATGTGGTCATAAAAAGGTACCAATTTGACCCTTTTCTGATCTGAAATCAAGACGGTACCAATCTTAAGCAAAAGCCAAACAGTTAACTATTTTACAAGGCAGCAGGAAAACTATCAAGTGCTAAACTGTCTGAGAAGGAAGGTACTCTTCCAGAAAATCTAAGTTATTGCTCCTGAGTATTATCAAATGCTAAATATTCAGCTGTGAACCACTCAGTAAGAAGTCAATCAGGGAAGTCAAAGGGTTCACTGAAACAAGGCCATTAAAATCTCTTACTTGCAGAAATTAACATTGTCCATTAAGAGCCAGTCTCCAGATTGCAGGGCCTGAACCAACATCCCATCTACCCACTCAAAAGTGCCATGGCTGTTGCAGTCAGCAGCCTGAGCCTGCTGCAGCTTGAAACGCCGGAACTCTTCTACCAGGTGAGCAAACTCTGAAAGGAAACACATCTTGCACTGAGACTTACATTAATGAAGTAGCTTCCAGCACCATTCAAGAAAAATAGTAGTTATTTTGTTAATAAACATATATGCTTCCTACTTTTTAGGGGAACATGACAGCAGAGGCTCCAGCTCTTCAGTAGCCTCCCATAGGCAAAATCCATGTGAACAGAAAAGGTTTGCAAGCACAAAGCAATATAGAACAGATTGACACTTTACTCCCTAAGCAGGTACTTTTCTGCATCACTTCTCCCCCATTAGATGAAATTTGCTGAGTATTAAAGCCTTTTTTAAACAATGATTGAAACGAAAAAGGAAAACCAACATACATACCCGCCTTTGTGTAGGAATTTATTTTGTTGTTTAGTCGCTGGGTAAGTACAAGTATTCCCTCCAGTTTGCTCACTAATTCAGCTGTAACACTTCCACCTCCTTCTCCCAGAGATTTGGGTTTGTAATTCAGGATGAAATTGCTCCAAGCACGCAGCAGGAGTTCAGCATCATCTGCACAAAGCTCTGCCAGGAGCAGACTGTCCCTTACGAGTGTGCTCACAGCACTCTGCACCTTTTCCAAGAGGTGCTGCCATGGCCTGTTGATATCAACCTGCAAACACGCCATTAGGGAGTCAGCTCATGCACAACACTCCAGTGCCAGGGCTCCATTTACCAGACTTGCCACTACTAGGTAGGAAGGAGAAACACTAACATGCTACCAAAACAGAATGTACCTGCTCAAATCCACCCAGCAGTTCAGTCGTATCCATTGCACTGTTCATGGCCATGATCTTCAGCCGATGGCCCGTGAGATGGGCCAACAGCTCCACCAGACTGGTTTTGCCAACAGCTGCTGGGCCCACCAGGATCACCATCCAGCTCATGTGCACACACTTCATTATGGACTCCAGGGACTGCAGTGAATGATGCAGAAGTGAGAGAGTCCTGCCAGAATGAGGAATGTAGTTGCCACGAGAAAGAACTGAATAGCCAATCTGAAAAGGATGACAGACAGAGGCAAATGGAATTCAGCTCCACAAGTTGTTTCCTTTCCCATCCCATCACAAAATCGCTTGTCAACAGTTTACCTGAACATTATATGGATTGATGTGAAACTCCCTGGTTCCTGTATACACATCAGCCTCCTGCCCAAAAATGCCTCTGTATACAGAAATAACCTATAACAGTTCAAGCAGCAAAGAGAGAATTATCAGTTCAAGTTATCTACCGTTGCAAAGATTCACTTCTAAAGGTTTACATCTGAAGTATCTTTTCCTCTCAGCTCCACAGCTGTATGACAGTAACTAACAGAGTAAATCACAAGCTCATCTAACTCAAAGTGCAGCAAGCAATGTGTGAGCTGCCCACAGCAACCCTTTCATTAATCACGGTTTCCTGAGTCTTGAAATACTGTAAGCAATGTTTCTCTTTAACAAAGAGCTGGGATAGAATTCACTTCATAAATAAGCTCTTTGGTAACACAAAATACAACAGTGTTACAGGGAGGGGAAAATAAACCCATGAGGAAATATCCAGTCACATACAGCCAGGAACTTCAGTTTTACAATCTGACTTTTCAGTTTACTACCATTTAAATGGTGTGAAATTAAACAAAGGCACGGGATTTCTAAGCAAGAGAGGGTAAAGTAGGTGGCAAACATTGTTATTTACTACAGAATCACACAATGATATGATATGTTTTATTATAATTCCTTGGTTATTCTACTCGACTTCATTTACATCAGCTGTCTGCTTTTATACTAATTAAATTGGTATTTCAAATGGCAAGGGAAGCACGTATCTATATTGAACCTCAAAACCCCAAATAAACCCACTTTTGTTTTTTAAGATAAATGTCTATGAATTAATTGCAAGGAGTCTTCAAATTGGAGATCTATACTTGGATTTCTATAAATCATGTCCTGAACATCTGAAGAGAAGGAGAACAGTGGCTTACCTTTTCTTTGTCTTCTCTGGTTCTCATTCTTTCTCCATATACCAAAAACACGTGCTGACCTGGGTCATAACATCCCGGTGACTGGTCAACAAGCATAAGCTGGCACCAGCGGAAAAGATCACGTAAGTTGAACTCCCAGGGTCCTCCTTTCTGTCCCCACCTTTTTTCAGCCATTACTTCCTTTTCAATCTGGGGGGAAAAAAAAAAGGGTAGCAATTTAAAAAAAAAATCCTTTTATTCCACCAACAAGCTGGTCTTCAAATATTTGTTTTAAAAGTGTCAGCTCAACTTCTGCCTTTAGCACTGCTTACAAGACAAAGACAACTGAAAGAGCAGGTTGAATTTACTTTGCTGCAGATGTGTTAGGAACTAAAGCTTGATTTAGTTTGTCTCTTCTCTACTGTTTCTCTAACAGCTCAATTTTGCAGTTTACTCTTGCACTCTTATAAATGAATATGCAGTAAGATGCTGACACGAGATTTTACCCAAGGTCACAGAATTTCTCCTGTGTATATATGTTTTATCTTCTGTGAAAAACAGGGCCTCATCAGATATCAACCAAGCATTTGATTGTCATGGTACAAGAATTCAAGTACCAGGTTTAGTAGTGTTTTATACTTTCTTCTGCATATATTTCCACCCCTCTTTTTTTACCCACACACTTCTCTACAAAAATGCTTGGAAATATAACATTCGATCTTAATTTTTTTCTAATCTTAGTGCATTCTGCCTACTTCTACAGAAAAGAAATTAAAATATGTTTACCTCGTTATTGAAAGCAACCATTTTAGCAATAATAATTTTATCAATAGCAGGAAACAATGTATTCGCAATAAACTTCATGTCTTCTGCTGACAGTGGATCAACATACACCTGTAAAATCAAGAAAATTCAGTGTCTATAAAGTCAGAAACCTATAAGACAGGATCATGATGTAGTTTAAATGAAACAAAGAAGCTTGCCTGTGTAAATCTATTAAGAAAGGACTTGGGGAGACCCTTCCTTCCGCCTCCTTGTCTGTATGGATTCTGGCAGCCAAAAATCTTCGTCGTCTTGTGCTGTACATGAAAATTCATTCCCAATTCTGGAACATAAATCTCAGCTCTGTGGTCAAAGCATGCGTTAAGCCCCTCTAACACAGACTGAGAAGCCAGATTCAACTGAGGAAAGAAATATACAAGGATACAATATTACTGCTCAACAAAACATTTCTGCATAATCTATAGCCTATTAGTCTATAATTAGTCTATAGCCTAATATATAGAAGGTAAAATCCCATTTCATTGCTGCTCTAACACTAACATGTTATTACCACCAGCTAGACTGTTATTGCACTGGAGCAACTAACACTTCCTTATGTTCATTTGTTATTTGTACTGTGTTTTTTCATTGTGTTAACAAAACAATTCTCCATTGTAAAATCTGCATGTTCAAGATATTTCTTCTGAATTTACATTCATACATTTGTGGCACTCAGAGCATTTTGTTTGTTTGTTTAAATTAAGGCAGACTTAGCTGTTTAATTATAGCAGTTGTTTAAAGTGGCATTCTTCACAATAGGGAGTAAAAGGAGGTATACAAGGGGCTAAAGAATTGAAGATTTTGTACTCTGAATGCATATTGCCAAGAAGGCAAATCTATGCACCTGCTTGAAAGCACTTTCTATATGGTACATGAACAAACCTGCAGTGGCAGGATAGCTTATACTGGCAAGATGGAACTTTTCTCCATCTCAATTACATCAGTAACCAACAGAGTGCATTAGCCCCCATAAAAACACCTCCTCTTTCAGTGAAATTGTATCCCTATAAGAACATTTGTATCAAAACTCCTGCTGACACTCTTCCCTAAAAACTTTCAGATGTAAATCAAACCTATCCTTGGTTTTCTGCAGTAATTTGAGCTGGGATTCAACCCTTGTTCTCTTGTCTTAAACTAGTCTAGTTATCACCTGCCTCCACGAAGGGATGTCATCAGCACTCCAAGGTATTTATTTCACAGGCCAAAGCACCAAATTTGCTCTTCTAGAACATTCCATTTTATTTGCTCCCCAAACCCGAATTTACCTCATCTAAAACAATCCAGTGTCCAGCCTTTAATGCTGCCAACAGTGGTCCATCACGCCAGGCAAATTCTCCTCCCTTCCCACCTTCAACAGGCAAGTCTGTCCCAAATAAGTCTGTCACATCCTTTGGGAGTAAAGAACAGAATGGGGGAGTTGAGGAATTACAAAATTTAACAGAAGTTCATAAAAAGCATTTGCTAACTTTATTTAACATTTCCCTTCTTTTTTAATACCTACACTTTAGGTCTATTTAAAAATTTTCAGCAATTGTAAAATGCTGAAAGCTTTTCCATTACAGGACTCCAGTGACCAGGTACTATATTTCACAACAAAAATTTAAATTGGAACAGAAAAGCTAAAAAGTCTTAAAGTTGTTTTCAAGTAATGTTGCAGAAGCCAAGAAAAACACAGTAGACAAAGATATACATGACTTCACCTGAAAAGAACAGAATTATCTGGGAATTGGCATTCACTCACAGAAGCTTACTGCTCTGTCTGCTTCCCCCTCCCATTCAGTTCTATCTTGAGAGCAAAAAGGAAAACCTGACATTTCTCAGACACAGTGCCAAGGTTAAAGCGAGTTGCACTTTAAAAGTTACACAAAGCTTCTACCCTGCCATAAACACTGAGTTATGAAGATAATATTTTATTCTACCGTTTGCTCAGACAGGTTGATTCGAACAAGACAGTTGCCTGAGGCTTTTGCCAGGGCAGCCACTAGGCTGGTCTTGCCCACTCCTGGTGAACCCTCCAACAAAATAGGTTTGTTAAGCTGCAGGGCTCTTAAGAGTCTTTGTGCATTCACTGCTGTAGTCCCAGCATTTAAAGCATAATCTGTCATGTTGTTCCTCTGGAGAACAGGGCCTAAAACAAAGGAAAGATAAACCAGAAAACAATTAAACAGTAAAGAATGTTTATGCTGGAGGTCCTGACAGTGTGCCTCTGAATGAGCTCAATCTATCTGTAAATTGCTGATTTCAGTATAGCAAGCAATGGAGGTCCAGCCTGTATGCCATTCTCAGAGATCTGGCACATACACTTTGACCCACAGCCACATCTCAGCCCATCTTCACATATTTATACTGAATTTTGAAAAAAAGCATATGGATGTACAATTTATTTTGCCATGAAACCTCAGTACCTCCTGGTTCATGACTTAAACTAGAGATCTATCCCTGAAACAACATAAATGTGTTCTTGCACTTTAGTCATGTTGATCTGAAACTCAAAAGCAGCTCTTGAAAAATTGACACTGAGGAATACAATCCAATCATGCTCTAGAATAACATATTAATCTGTTCCATACACTGTCAGTTCTGTAAAGTTTAATTAAAAGAACCCTTAATTAAAAGTTTGCTTCTCCTTTACTGTTGTTAGGGCATACAGTGGGGAGAGCAGCGTTTGTCTGCCAAATTCCAGCCAGTATAGCTCCTTGGACATCACTCCCCCAAACGTGTAATACAGCATTGCTCACGTATACAAGATATTTATCACCAATGCATCCTACACAAACTGATAGCTGTTCAGTATGAAAGGGAGCAAAGAGATTCCTTTTATGAACCAATTAGCAGAGCAATTAGAGCAATTTATGAAAAAACATTGTACTTTGTACAATTTTATGCATGAGTAACATAATCCATGAATGCCACAAAGTTCAAATATGAACAATTAGTACAGCATTAGGAACACATAGGTCCATGTGCTAAAAACTAACCAGCTGAGTTAGAAAGCTCACAGTCATCACTTTTTAGTCCTATTGTGGTATTTTAAGGACAAGAAGCAGTGTTTTGCTAGTTCCATTTGCGTATTTCTGTCCCAGGAGGAACTGAAATGCAGAGACTTAATAATTTGGCCAAAATTGCAGCAAATCTTTGAGAGCTTAGAACACAGCATGGCATTAACCTCCATTCTGTTGAGCTTTATACCCAGCACCCGTGCTTTCCATGCTTTGCACAAGGGCCAGGATGAACTGCAGCTTTAGTTAGTAGAAGTTAACAGGGATTCTGAGCATGCAAATGTGACAGAAAATCACAATTCAAAACGAAAAAAAAAAAAAGCTTTATTACACATAAAAAGTCTATGAAAACCAGGCCATTAACCATTAAGAAGTAATGAAAAAAGGGAATGAACAGATGCATCTTAATAAATGTCACTGAGTTGCAATCTAGACACCTGGAGGCAGGAAAGGCATTTTTCTAAAGCTTAAGAACCAATGAACTATTCTATGACAGTTCAGGCATCCTACTTAGATTTAGTGAATAACAAAACTACTGAAAATATAAATGTCCACCCACTCCCAGTCTCTTGCCTCTTGGAATAAAAAACGGATGAATTCCCATAAAGTTGTCCATCCATATGAACTCTTTTGCCTTTGTTCTGTCATAAATCTTCAGTTCATTCTTCTGATAATCAGTCAGCTCAAACAATTTACTCATCTTCTCACATAAGAATGTCAGGCACTTCTCACGAGCTAATAAAGCTGTATCAGCTGAGCAGGATGTTGTACCTGTAATTAGCAAAATTAAGTGTACTTCAAAACAAAATTAGGCACATTCATCTTCTTATGACAAGAAACTCATGTGCACATAGGTTTATATTTTATTTTAATGTTTTTGCTTGACATTGCTTCCAGTACTATTTACCATGGACAGATTGTTCTGTGAGGAACAGAACTAATGACACCATATTTCCAACCCCCTTTCTTCTACCATCACAATATCACCCTGATCCCTTGCCATAGGAGCACCCCAGGCTTTCTTTTCTGGCATTTCCTGTGCCTTTCACTTTTCTTCCTCTCCCTTATCTACTATTTATCAGCTGGGCCAGCAGCCAAACACATACAGATGCATTCTCAGCTATGTGCATGCTACAGGCTAGCACAGACAGATGCTGACATGTGGAGTGGGGGATAGGGAGCATAATGTGTGCTTGTGCTTAAGTACTGTATCAGCTCAGACACTCAATTATAACCACAGGTTTTCTTAATTTGTGTGCTAGCCTTTGTAATATCATTAATCCCTCTACTTTACTTCAGCTTGCTCTATTACTCAAACTCTTGCTACTGGAACATAGAAAAAGGCAAATGATGTATAGGAGGTTGTCAGATGGAAGTGAAAACTTCTCCCACCAGAGTACCATGCCACCCCAAAGCATTTTTTTTGTATTTGACTAAGAATATTGATACAAATACACAGTTTCGTATTTTCTGCTACCGAATGAACACTGAAGATTTACCTGATCCTATCCCATCGATATACACCAAACATGCAGCATGGATAAAAGACATCACTGGAGAAATGTTAAGGCGGCTGCATCCCTTGGCAGAACTTGACTCATTCTCTGCCATGACATTCATAAAATTAACCCAGGCCAAGACATCTCTCACACTGAGAATACACTGGCGACCAAACTCTTGATTAGTCAGCCATTCAACAAAGTCCATCATGAGTTCTGCTATGTCTGCCCCTAAAAAAAAAAAGTTAAAAAAAACCTCAAATAAATTTGAGTTATAATTTTTTTGGTCACATCTACTGCACTGTTAGAAAAACATCTCTAAGTAGGTGCAGCTGCATGAGCAATGTGGATGGGTACTCTATATCCTAGAAACAGAGCAAGAGAAGAGAAAGCTCCTGGCCTGAGCTGTTGTTACAGATCCTTTTAAATTCAGGTAACAAGACAGCATCAAGTCACTAATACTAACAGTGAAGTTGCTGGCAGAAAGTCAAGTGCCAGTTCTTTCAGCACTCTACATTAAAACCAAGCTGGGACACTGAAGGGCTGGACATAGTTCAACTACCTGGATGGTGAAGTAAACACAGCCTTGAACTTACTTCTGGCTAGAATGATATACACAGTGAAGGAAGAACAAAGTCCAAAATATATCATACTCCTCAGGGAGTATAAGTCCTCAGGGAGAAATGTAGCAGAAAAAGAACTACAGTGGTGTATATTCTGAGGAAAGGTTGGCAGCCTCCAAACTCCTTATTTTCTTAGCAATATTTGAACAGTAACACACAGAAATACCTACCCTTGTGGTTTCTTGCACTCAGACACAATCCTGGATGAAGATTGTGTTTTACAATCTGTATCAAATCATCCCGGCCATTGCTCTGTGGACACCATATTTCTGTAAATCTGTTGCGCAGCGCAGGGGAAAGCTGCAAAGCAGCAGAGTGACAGAGCAATTAAAGATTCATTACATCATCTTCCCTCAAGGTCAGTTAACAGCAGCCTTGTAGTCACTGTACTTGTAAACAAAGTGAACAAGATAGACCTTTCTTTCTAATTTTGACAGAAACACTTTGTAAGAAAATCTTTGAAAGAAGGAAGATTTTTGAGACTTCTAGTAGTGGCATCAATGCAGGAAATGGGTGGTAAAGAAAGTCCAAAAGAATATGGGAAGGAACTGAGCTGATTTGCAAGTACCAAAGCTCCATTTCATTCTAGGATACCATGTATCAAACAACGGCTCTGTAATCTCCCTTTGCTTACAGAAGCAAACCACCACATGGAAATTTGCCTTCAATTACAACTTATTTCTTTAATTCCTCTCTTCCTTGGCTGCACTGGTCAAACAAAAATTAGTACCACAAATGTAATCCAGAAATAAATCCTGTTTAAACGCATGGCCTCAATGAGTGGTTTTCTACTCCAGAAACCACTTTAAATGGAGGACCCATCTTCTTTTATGTAAAAGAGCTTCTGGTTCTTTTTTTTAGACCTAGCTTCCAACACTGCTTAGAAGTTTTAGGGTTTCGTTGTCTTATGGATTTTCTTTAATATGTTTTAAATTACTTAATTCTCAACTTCAGAAACAATTTTTTTCATTTAATGAAAAGCTTTTTTGGGATGTGATGTTCATTATTCACTAAGAAACACAAGATGACCATCACTTTCTGAACAGCATTAACTATGCAACTTTGTATTATCCCAGAGAGCTGGATTTACTTGCTTCACAAGTCACAGTTCCTGTAGTTGAATATTCCATATATCAAGCCTAACTAGAGTATTTAGAGGTCTTAAGTTTCCTTTGACATTTTGCTGACTATTCATTTATAATGCCAAAGTGACAGCCCACAGAAGTGGCAGAAAGCAGATTCACCCCAATCCTACTTTAGAATGACAAATCAGATATTTCAGCTAGAAAGCACTGCATTGCCAGAATTGGCCTGATGCATTTTTGCACTGCACCTCCAACCACTTAATGGTCAGTATGACCAGAAGATGCATGCTGTACTTTCAGATGTTTTGGCATTTACCTCTTTTTTCCCAAAGTCACCTCCTGGGTTCATGGTCGCAAGGATACGGAATTTCTTTCCTGCAACTAATAGTTCTACTTCATTCTCCTCATCATCTTGACCACCTTTTTCAGCAAGTACCAATGTCTTTTCAGCTTCAAGAACACTAGAGAGAAGGTTAAAAAATATTGCTTATTTTAAATTTTGTTCCACGCTTCAAAAGATCACTTAAAAGTGCAAATCACATTAATTGGCCTGGAAAAACTTTCCTTTACCCAACATAATGGGTAACAGAAAAGACTAAAATAGGAATACTGCTGCAAACACATAATGAAGTTAAATTTATATTTAAGTTGTTCTGGGGTTTTTCTTTACATACACACACAAAAGAGGGCAATAACTAGATTTTGTTCCTGGGATTTGACAAGTTGTTCCTGGGATTTGACAAGATAATTTCAAGAGCTCACTGACAGGCTGAAAATATTAATACTGCAGATGGTAAACTAGAGATTTTACTTTCAAGTTTTATTTGTACCACTGTCCTTTCCAGCAAGAGGGCAGTTCACCTGTGCCAGGAAACAAATGGGTCTCAAAGAAGTCAGATTTACCGCACTCATGTTTGGATAATGAACAGACAGACACATTGAGGATGCTTAGTACTACATTTCACACATACCTGTTAAGTCGCTCTAGTACAGAATCATCAGCTAAAGAAATCTCATCAAGGAGAAAAAAACCCTCCTCCTTCATTGCTAAAACAAGAGGTCCATCACACCACTCAAAGAGTCTAGAACCATCAGATTCCTCCTAATGGAAAAGAAAGTGAGAAGTCGTAACTGCTACTTTTTACTTCCATGGTCACACCACCCAAGGTATTACTGGTGCAGGACAAACCTGGTCTTTGGACCTCTGCCTGACTGGTCGCAGCCCCCCCAGGAAGTCTGAGGTCTCCATGTGCAGGTGGCAATTCACTGAGTACAGCTTCTGATTTGCTAGGGCTGCAAAGATCTGACAAATGGTAGTTTTACCACACCTGCAATCAAATAATTTAATTGAAAAAGATTAATTAAAAGAAGAAGCAAAACCAAGCAATCAGCTCACTTTGGACAGGATTCATATTTTCACTGAAGAGCTATGAGGCTAAGACCCAACATGCAGATTTTCTTCTGCTCCTTTCCTTGAAAGAAATGTATGCTAAGTGAAGCCATTTTTGGCACAACTGTTGCTGACACGCACAAGAGGCCTTTAATTAAATTTAAATCAATAGCTGCATTGATGGGATTTCTGCATGTTCAGAGTCCAATTTATTTCAGCTTGCCCTTGCAAATACTCAACCAGCCTAACATTTCACTGAACTGGAAATGCGACATGTCTAGACCAAGCCTAAGTCTGAGGGAATAAACTGCTGAGTATCTAGTTTTGATTTACTATCCAAGTAAATTTTCCTTCTCTTCCAGAAAAGTTTACTCTAAAAATTTATAACCAGCATAAGAGGAAACAGTATCTACTTCCACAACCTCCACTACAGCATATTAGGTGGAGAAGCGGTAACAAGACTATATTCAAGCTCATAAAACATGCAAATTGAACTTGCTCTGAAAGAGAAAAATGCCACAATATCCCAAAAGCAGCCACTCCCGTGAGGCACAGTGAGATTCTACAGGGCACCTTGTAAAGCTGGGGACAGAAGTCAGTTCACTTTCATTTTACTACTTTTACATAACTCTATGTAGTTACACAATGCAGATAAACCCATCAAAGACACAGGTTAAATGAGATGCATCTGCTTCCCCTCAAAAAGAACTGTGAAAAACAGCAGCTGCAAATCTACCATGAGACAGGCTCAAATGTCCCAGATCAAAGCAGCACTGAAGCCCACACAATCATTTTGTCTCCAGCTCAGCAGCTGGTAGAGCACTACCAAGAACATCATAAAAACCAAGATTACCCAGTGTCTCCCACCAGCAGTACTGGTTCACCAAACTCCAGGGCTCGTCCCACCAAAATGGCAAGTCTCCTCATCCCTTGAGTCCAGACAACATGGTTAAAATCTCTGTCCATCACTGACATCCACGTGGAAGACTTAGCTGCACAACAACACCACAAAGCAATCCATCAGCTTCAGTCACATCTAGAGATCTACCAGTGGGGTCCCTCTAAGAAACTCACCTAGTAGCTTTTTGACACTTTCCCCTGAGAAGAGAGACTCAGGATGTATTTTTTTCTTGAAGTGTTTTTCAATGACATTTTGAATAACATCCACCTCCTCCTGTTTCCTGACTCTGCCTGCCAGAAGCATAAAACCTAAAAAACAGAGGAAGAGAGAAAGCAATTACTACCTGGGTAATCAGCAACAAAAATTTACACTTAAGAAGCGGGGCTGGAAAGCAATTCTACAGACACTTAAACAAGCTGGGGCAGCAGAGCTCACCATCATTTGCTAAGTGCTGAAGCCAGTCATACTCCTTCTGCAGCTGCTCTGCCAACCTGTACCTTTCAGCCCAGCGGAACAGATCCCGCAGGGTAATGAATCCATGTTTCCCAGCAAACACCGTCGAGCCTCTGCGGTAAGACTGTCACAAGAGCAAAATGTGAGGTATTTTGTCATCAACCCCTCCAAATACTGCAAGCAAAGCTAATCACCACTCTCTGCAGTGACACTGCAACAAGAAAATTCTATGAATAACTACAAAAAAAGTCCTGTAGAGTCACAACTCCTAAACACTAACTCCTTTTAGGCAGGTAATTGATGAGCACCAGAAATAAAATAATTTAGATAACATTAATTTTTTTTAAAAAACCAACTAAGAATAAAATAGAACAAAATCTAGTTTGTGCTGCAGTAATTGCTTTTAAATACGAGGTAGTTTTAGCTACATACTAAGTGTCAAATGCCTGTTGAATACAGGATTGTCCTAGCATATCCAAAATTAGTGCTTAAAAATAATACCAAATTTCGCAAGACCCAAAGACCCCTACAAATCCAATACTGTACTCTGACTTCAGAGCAAGGGATAATTCTAAACATTAAATCCCATGGTGTCTTGGTTTTTGGTTGTTTTTTTTTTTTTTTTTGCTCCTACCTTCTCTCAAATCTCACATCACCTTCCCCAGTCTTAGTCTTAACTTTAGTCTTGGTGGGTTCTTTCCATGGTTTAGGATTTTAAATGTCCTTCAGCTAACAATACCTCCCTCCCCGAAGAAATTTCTATTACTTTGTGCATGTTACTTTGAAATATGTTTGCATTTCTTAAACTTAAAAGAAAAAAGACTCATACTTGCAGGTCTAACATGACTTTGACAAGCTTGCTGCAATAAGAAGGTGGCAAACTGCATCGCTTGTGCAGGATGGTTTCCAGTTCAGCACTCGGCAGTTCATCAAAATGCAACTCCACAAAACGATTTCTGAAGGCTCTGGACAAAACCTAAAATAGGAGACCACACTACTGCTTGAACTTTTTCCTTTGATATTGCTCATAGATCTTCCCCTATTAACACATACACATCAACATTGAAAAAAAGCTTAAGAGACAGTCTGGATGAGGACAAAAGCTTTAAAATGGATTTTTGAGTATTTTAAGGGCATAGGCAGCTAAGCATTACAAAGACACAAGCTCACTCTCCCTACAATGGGAGAATGGGAAGGGTAATAGTGATAAAACTTTTAGGCTGAGACAGTAAACCAAAAGGTGCATATGCAAGCAAAGCAAAATTAGGAGTTCATTCACCACTTGACATCAATAGGCAGGTATTCAGCCACCTCCAGGAAGTAAGGGCTTCATCACACACCAGTGTTATTTAGGGAAACAAACACTGAACACCCCTTCTTCCCCCTCCTCCCCCTAGTTTTGACTGCTGAGCACAATGTCACATGAGATGGAACATCCCTTTGGGCAGTTGGGGTCAGCTGTCCCAGCTGTGTCCCCTCAAAGCCTTTCGTGCACTCCCAACCTACTCCAAAAGTAGTGGAGGCAGTGTGAGAAGCAGAAAAGGTCTTGAATCTGTGTAAGCACTGCCCAGCAATAAGTAAGACATCCCTATCAACACTGTTTTGAGCACAAATCCAAAACACAGCTCCATACCAGTTCACTATGAAGAAAATTACCTACTCCGGACAAAAACCAGTACAAAATGGACTTCCATAGCCTAAGTAGAATCTCTTTTCCAGTGCTCTTAGACAAGAAAAGCTGATTCAAGTATAATACATACGAACTTTGGTTCACTAAATCACCTAAACTTCAACCACCTAATATTAACTAGAAATTCTGCATCCATGAAAACAAGCAACTCACCTAAACAGAGACCAGCTGTACTGACAGTCCATCCAACTCACTCTCTCTCTCGATTCATGTTACACATGAATGTTACAGAACATTTTCGCATCACTTCATGTATGAGAGAGATTAATTCCCTAAAGCCTTAACTACCCAAAGGTATAGATCATACAGACCTTTCTGCCACCATAGAGACCTGGAGGGTTCTGTGTAGCAAACAGCATGAAGCGAGGGTGAGCTTTGACAACTTCCTGAGTCTCTGTAATGAACAGCTCTCTGTTATCATCCAACAAGCGGTTGAGAGCCTCCAGAACATCAGTGGGAGCCAAATTCAATTCATCTAGAACGATCCAGTAGCCCTTTCTCATTGCATCTATGAGGATGCCTTGGGGGGAACAGAAAATTTCCTAGTTAAAAGTCTTATAAAGCAAATTTAACAGAAGCATGCACTCTGATACTTTCAGCAACCCCATTTCATTCAGGATAAACACTAATCCAGAGAAGGAAGCAACAGTATTGTTTAAACTGTTGGCTTACCATCTTTAGGTCCAATAGGACAAGAATGTTGAGACAGACATGAACTTTTCAGAATTCACTGAAATTCACACCAATTATTATCACTGAAGTACAACTACTAACTTTATTACAGGCCATCTCTCCACCATAATAAACCAGACATATTAAACAGAAAAGAAGAAAAAAACCAAACAAACAGCCATTGAAATGAGACGGGAATTTGGAGTATACAGAACATGCTCACTTACCTTCCTTAAATACCAATTTTCCAGAGGCATCTGATGTGTAACAGCCAATATATTCCTGGATATCAGTATGCTCATGGTTGTTAATCCTTACACAATGATTCCCAGTAGCAGCAGCCAACCAGCGAATTAAACTGGTTTTACCAACAGAGGTCTCTCCTTGAATCAGTACTGGGTGAGTCCTAAAAGCCATGATCAAAATAGTGGGTTAGAAGCATGAGCCATGTCCTTCTCACACACAAGATGTCAACATTATTAAACCAAACTACCAAAACACCACCACTTAACTCATTTGGGATACCCAAGAACACACACTAACAGGGAAATACAAAGATCTTTACTCCCAAGTGCTAAAAGCTACCCATGAAGCTTTTCGTGGCAGTGCGAAATAAGCAGATTATTCTAACTGCAAATTTCTATCAGAAATCAGAATTTAAATAAAACTAGCTATGGCAGTAAGATGGTTTCAGGAAACAAGAAACACATGTATAAATTTCAAGTCACTCTATAATGAAAAGTTAACTGTAAAGTAGAAGGAAAACAGACATTATTCATCCAAACAAAGATTAGAGGGGCACCAGTAACTCAAGGCCTAAACAAACATATTTAAATTATTTTGTTAATTAAAAAGTTGAAACACTTACCCTGCAGACACAACCCTGACAATGTCTTTAAGATTAAGCTTAACTGAAGGGGTGAGCACATAACTCTCATCTACTGTAGGTTCTTTGTCCCCAGCTGAAATCCAGTACCCTTCTATAAGTATAAAACTCCCTCCTTGAGGTTTTGGTATTTGCTAAGGAGACATGACAGAAATAACACAATTATACAAACTGTTTTCAATTTGTTAATGAAAACAACTACTGTTACCCCACTGCTACATATTCTCTAAAGTAATTTTAAATTAATCTCTGAGCACTCCTGCAGTAAGTACTGTCCCCTTGTCACAGAATGCAAATTACAGGAAAAACCTAACCAGATTATTTCAGTCATGAAGCAGGAATCTTTGCAGTGGCATGAAGATAAAAATGTCTCAAGAGTCTTAGCACTGAATTTTGAAGGGCATTTACAAACAGTAACTTTGCTTTAATCTTTTTTATATATTTATACACATTTTCCATTATGAAGGGGTTCATTTTGAAACAAATACCCATCTCTCTAACTAGCTTCCCCATCCCCCATGCAAACTCATGCTGGGTTCCCAGCACTACTGACATTCTTCCTTTCCCTTAAGAGACAAAGCACAGATGCTTCTTCATATCCATATGTTCTGCATTCAGAGTCTAAAAATATAAAGCCTGAGAAAGCTCCTCCAAAGTCTGTGAAAGCTTTACAGTTGGAGCCACTGCATTCAGCTGTCCACACTACACAGTGCTTTAGTTATTCAGGCTTCGATATCTTTTCAAATTAACAAATAAACCAGCTAACATATCAACATTCAAGCAAAGTAAAAAAACTACAAAAGAACGGTATTAACTTTTTGTAGCTCTCATCTTTGTAAAATGAAAAACAGAACTGCACAAAGAAAATGTAGAGGAAAAAGGAGAGAAGATAAAGTAGAATTTATTTTGAGTTAAGTACTAGACAGCTCTTCATAATCTTAGTTGCCTACCTGCTTGAGAAGGCTTTTGATGTTGCCAGAGACTATATGCTGGCAAATTAGCTTTTGAACCACTGGGTGAGAACTTCTGTCAAGCTGTGTCAGGAAACTCAAACAGAAGCCCTAAGAAGAAGAACTATTTTCAGTGATAAACACGAAAAATAAGGAAAAAACATACAGATTAAAGAACCATTTATGTTCAATACTGGACTTAGAGAAGATTATCCTTTACCCAAGCAACATCTGTAGTGAATACACACAGAAACAAATGGCAGCACAGGTAATCACCTCATACAGGGAGCGAGCTATGCTGCCACACGGATTCGACGCTGCAAATCTCAGTGCCCTGCACAGGGTACGGAGACTGTAGTGAGGTCTGTGGCCAGTTCCATCCACCAATTTTGTTTCTGCTTCCTTTCTCACAGACAAATAAAAGCTGCAAAAATAAAATTATATAGAGCTGTTACTGATCAGACCATTGCTCCAAGGAATTAAACCCCAAGTATGATCACTTCAGTTTATCCCCGTTACTTTTCTTAAAAGCTCCAGGTTACAAAAAGCATGCCAAGCTCTGCCATCTGTACAGTCAGTGAAGCAAAGCAAAAGAGTATTTTTAGAACCATATTTTTGACAGAGCTTGACATACAGAGAGTGACTATAAACTCCAAATACTCCAAACATGAGATAGTTCACATTACACTAGGGGAAAGAAAAGTAACTAGACAAACACACAAGACTTTCTTTGAAATTATCTACAGAAACAAGCCACTTTAGTCTCTCAGATGTGAAAGAGGACTGAAACAATGATGCTATTTAACTGGTGCTCGCAAGAAAACAATTCTGAATTTAAAAAAATAAAAATCTCCTTCCCACAAATATGGAAACCTGCAGAACTAGGAAGACGGATGTCTACACTCTTCTGTTTCCTAAAGCTATGGGGAGCATTACAGTGTTTCCCAAAGCAGTCTAACCACAGACTACAGTCACATACTTTCTTTTGGTGACTTATCAAGAATTTAAAAGGTTACAGTCAACTTACTTCACAATTCCTTGTACTGTATTTTTGTTCACATTCAAGCTTCTCAGATAGTCCATTATAAGAATTTGCAAGTCTCCTTCATTTCTCAATTCTTCTACATAAAGTTCAGTAAACCTGAAATAATCAAATCAATCTGTAACACTTAAGACACCTGACCATACTGAAAAAGTTATATATAAATCGCATGGCATATAACATCTTAAATTTTTAAGTAACAGAATACTTATTGTTAAAGCTACAGACCTATAGACTCTCAAACCTACAGACAGACTTAAGAACCAGAGCAGTTGAAAAATAAGGTATTAGTAATATTCTCAAGTAATTTATCTGAATTAGTTTAACGTCTTAGACTGAAAGTGAACAATGTGACTTAAATTACAATTTTCAACAGTTTGCAATAGATACTCAAATGTTACAGCCTGAACAATGAAGTACTGACACAGCAGTAGCTATTTCTGACAAACAGTAGTAGGTATTTTTGATAAATAGAAATATAAATTCATTTAAACTTAGCAAGTTATGCTGATGCTGAAGTCTCTTTTCTCCTGTATTACACTAACTCTCTTTCCTTTTACTTTTCTCCAAGATAGCCAATAGCAATAAAACCTTGCTTTGCCACTAATAACTACAAATGACTAGTTATACATAGCTGGTGCATCTCTACAGTCCTGCCCAGCGTTTATGCATCTGGGAAGAGACTACACATACAATTTCTGGCACTCATAAGGGAAATTGCATCAAGCAGGAGATCTGTGCATACAGGAATAGGTAAATGGTACTGAAGAATGGATTTGCCACAATTCCAATTGCCTTACCACAGCTTTTATGCTTTGAGACCACACATCAAATATTTTGAGTATCACACGACTGCATCAACATGCAAACTACCTTCCTTTTGAGTGAACAAGACTGGATATGCAGCTTCTTGCAAGTATCATCAACACTTGTAAGTTAAGAGAAAGGCTGCTAAACAGACACCAAGCACCTACCCATCTTTATTACTCCCATCAGGAATGTAAACTGCTGCAGTAGCATTCCCAGGTGCTGACAGCTTAACTGTGAAGAATAATCATTTCCTGCCCCCACTGACAATACCCTACACTACTGCTAGACCATTTGCTCACGGTTCAGCTACTTCAAAGTATTTTACTAATTCTATTTCATGAAAAGCCTTCACCATACATCTCTTACAGGTAGTAAATTCGAGTTCAGACTTGCATCCTCAGGCTTCAGATAAAGCATTCTTCACTGGTCAACTCCTGAAACCAAATAAACTCTGAAAAAGTTAGTGACTATTTTGTCCCAGAATCATTATTTCCCACCTGTTTCTTATTCCTAGAGGAAGATTTCTCTTTCCAACATCTGTAGCTGGATTCATGCATGCAAACAAGCGAAAATCAGGGTGACGGACAAGAGGCTCTAAAGCAAAACAGAAATAAAAGACAAAGTTCATGATAAACATAGGCTATTTACATGTTAAATATGGTGTATTTGATCTAAGGCAACTTTCTATTGCTGCACTACTACATTTTCTTAAAAACACCAGCATCAAGAATTTTCAGAGAACAACCCCATGTGATTTTATCAGAAGTACCTGCATCTTCACAACAGCCACAAGTAAGTGAAACCCTGACTTTTTTGTGAGTAGCAAGATATTGTAACAACACAAAACGTTTCAAAACTTATGTGAGCCCAGAACTCCTTTTGTCTCTTTCAGAACAATAGCAAGTGCTTCCCTCAACCAGGAAGAAAATCCAGCCTGGGATGCTCACACAACATTGGCCTCTCTGTAGCTCTTGAAAGCGGCATTCAGAGACTGCATTTTTTTCTCTTTACATCTGTAAAAGGAGTTAACTTTCTACACAGCAGCTCCTACAGTGCTGTTGAGAACTCACCAGTACCAGTTTTGTACCTCTTTCAAAGAAGTATGAAGTCTGCAAAGAGCACATTGCTCTCTTGTGCACATATACATTTTAATGGTAAATGATCTCAACTTATTTTGAGCTACACAGGATAGGGAACTCACCTGGATACCAAGGTACAACATAAGCAAACACAAAAATAATACCTGTGTCTCCTCTATCTAGTAACACCAGTGACCCAGATGATCCTTCCAACAAACCACTCAGGCACTCCAAAGTCTCTGCTGCAGCCAAGTTAATCTCATCCAATAAAATCCACTCTCCTTTTTTTACTGCTTGTGCCAGAGTACCCTAAAAGTAGGATCAATTTGTTAATTATGTTGCCAGCAATGAAATGTCAACTGAAGCATTCAGATACTGGAAATACTTGGTGTGCAATCTATGGCTTGATTAGACAAATGGCAATTCCAGACCTTTTACAGCAGTAGCAGTTTTACTGCTCTCTCTCAATAAAGCAGCCATTTTGCCAGTCACAGAAGTCAGACAGCTATCATACCATTGTATCAAGTACCAGTTAGATTGGCTCAAATACAACAGATTTAAGATCCCTTATTTGCACAGTCTACCACTGTGGTGAGTATGTGTCACTAACACCTCATGAGAATAAAGTTAATCTGAAGAAATCCAAAGACACAAGCAGTATTATGCTCCTAAGGAATCTGTACCCTGTTAATTAAAACTATACTTAAGTCTGAGGTTCTCCAACTACTCAAAACCACATTTTTTTTATAGAGGACTGATCAACATTTTACACACTTTACATGAAGTTTGAGAGCATATATTCAGATTATCAGGGTGATAATAAACAACCATAAATAAACCTCATGGTTCCTCCTAATCTCACTTAATGTCATTAAAACATATTATGGGTTTGAAATGTTTAGAAAAATCACTTCTAGATAAACAACACAGATTCTCACTTCTAGATAAACAACACAGATTCTTAATATTAAGTCCTTAACAGGAATCCCTAGACAGAAGCATGACCTACTGGAGACTGATCAAGAAGTTGTTCCTAATCTCCTAGAGTTGAAAAGAAGATATGACATACTGAAATTCTTATCATACGAGTCCTAATTCCTGTTATACAGCACTGAATTAATGTGCTACCACAAACCAGTCTCCCACTGTCCATCTCACCACTGCTTCCTTGAATCTGCACATTTGATTTCAGAGTTATCATGGCACACATTTTACTTCACAGCAAGGTTCTTGCCAGGAAGCTATTTATATAATCCTGATTGCAACATCTTTTAAATACTTCTTACACCTCCTAGCATCAAAATGCAAATATCTAAATACCTCAACAAATGCAAAGAGAAGAGCATTTTCTGTCATTTTCATTTGTTGATGAGCATGATTCAGTTTAAGACCAAATGCTTCCCACTTTTCCTTCAGTGGTAAGCCTGCAAGCAAAACAAATTTAAGTTTGCACCATCAGAACAATAGCACAAAAAATGTTTGACAACAGTATTTTAAAAAAGTTGTTTCAAGCAAAGAGATACAAAAGTAAGCTCGAGCAACAAAAACATTCAAGTCCTGCAGATGACACACCACAAATTAAAAAAAAATTTGTCTTGTGTTTCGGTTTTGTGCATATGTGGTTTTTTGCTTTTTAAATTTATCTGTACTCATATGTCAATAGTGCCCAGATAATTTGCTATTCATTCCTAGATGAGGAACAAATACTTATACTGCACTTTTTCCATCATGACTGTGTCCAGTCTCTAATTGCCAGAAATAGAGACACGTCAAAAAAATAAATCCAAATTTATAACACTTATGACAGAATAATTAATAATGAACACTTCAGTATCAATAATTAACACACTATTGCTCATCAGTTACAACAATATTTACTATAGCACTGATTTTAATTATTTGTTAAAATCACTACCTGAGCTACACACAGCATCAAAATACCTTAAGAAACTTTGCAAATTACAGATTTCAGCTTGTCTTTATTGTAGGATTGTCAATTCTTGCAATGAGTGGCACCTGTTCTACTGGTCTAGAACCAGCAGCAACTCAACACAAGGTGAAGTACTGACATCACCTCAGCCCCAAAATGGGCAGCAAAGTATAAAACAAGAAAAACTTACTTGGAGACAAAACCACTCTGGAACAAAATAAAGCACTATGCAAGTCAGCACCACTGACAGAGGAACCAAGGCAAAAGCAAGCTCTTAAAAATAATTCCTACCCTAAAACAGTTATTACTTTGGCTTTGGTTTTGTTCTTGCTGTTTGGCTTTGTTTTTTAAACAAGACATGCGAGACATAAGCAAGTTCCAAGACTGAAAGCATGAATGCATTCACAAAGAAGACTGACACACAACCAACCAGGACTGCTCATCAGCACAGCTAACAAGTGCTGAGTGGAGACCAGATGTCAAGGGTACCACAGGGCAGGAAATCTCCACACTCTCAGACAGCTAACAGCAGAGATGAGTTAGGAAAAGGAAAAAAACAAAACAAAACAAAACAAAATCCAACTACTGTTCTAACAGCGTTCTGAATGTCCTGTTGCAATGTTGACATTGCATTTCTCAAAACCAGAAAAATAAATGTAATATAGGGAGAGGAAAAAACCCCTAAACCTCAAACAAACCCAAATTAAAAAAACAAAAGTCACCAGCATTTATCCACCCTCTGCAGTGGTTTAGCACTAATGTGTGTTTGATCCATCTGAAGTCTTACCAGATGCATTTTCGTTTACTTCTTTATTAATAGCAGATTTATGAATATGTTGCATCAGTTTTAGCAGATCATGCCAACGTTTCTGTCTGTAGCAAGTCTGAATGTGTCCCAAGAACGTTTGATTTTTCTTCCTAGAGAATGTCTGAGAGAAGAGTTCTTCAAAAGACTCTCGCAGAGGGAGCCAGATCAGCTTGTTATCCACAGGTTTGTAACTGAGGAGAAGCAAAAGAGTAATTACTTCTGTGAGACAGAGTCATCTGTGAACTTAAAAAAGAAAACAAGTCCAAAACCAGTTACTTGAAACAAGCTGCATGGGTGAACCCCTGTTTCTGAAGTCTTTTACTCAAGTAATGAACTAAAGAGAATTGCACATATTTAAAGGCACCTCATGAGGTGATTTTGTAAAGACAAGAACACCCTGTCTTTACAATAAGCAAAATATTTGTAATACTACCAAACAGTATGTCCATTGAATATTACACCAGATTTATATTGAGCAGCTTAACCAATTTTAAAGACATTGGACTGTGTTTTTGAATGACTTCATCACACACAGCTCAGTAAAACTGCTCTGCTCCTTCAGCAAGGATACAAAGGTTTGTGCATGCAAACATGTTTATTGAGACATTTATCCTACTACAAAACAGAAACTGCCCATTTGTTCTGCAGAACAACAAAACAGCAGTCAGTGACTCACCCCCCTAAGAGATCTGCTGTGTCACTTTGCTGATTCATGTTGACAACCCTCAAGCGGTGTCCTTGAAACAGAGATAAAAAGCACCATCAGCTTGTAGGTTTGTTTGTTTCTTGGTTTTCATATTATCTTAAAGTAAGTTACAATTTTCACACATTATTTACCTGTAATATGAGCTAGGTACTGGACTGTTGAGGTTTTGCCAGTTCCTGTTTCACCAACCAAAAGCACAGGCTCTCCTTTGGCCACACACACTGCAAGCTGTTCAATCAGTACTGCAGATGGCCGTGTGGCAGCAAAGGTATGTTTTGCCCTGGAAAAACAAAGCTTGTTACTCAAAACTAAGATTCATCATGGAGCTCATTTCAATTTTACCTTTAATTGTTTTTTAGCTAAGTAGATTGATTTTTTTAAATATAGGTCAGAAAAGAAATAGTTCTAAGATATCCTTCTAAGATACTTATTTTTTCAATATACAATCTAAAAATTCAGGATTTCCAAATAACTTCCTGTCTTAGGTTGCAATGCAGGATGTATTGGATGTTTCAACCATCTGTTGAAACTAGGTGGGGCAGTGACCTTTATCTTGAGCTGGGGGCAGGGAGGAATATCCTCTGTTAATACCAGGTGGGGCAGTATGCTTCATCTTTTCTGACCCATCCTTTGTCCAGGGAGATATCTTCTGTTAATGGGCCATTGAGTCTCACTGCATGACTGAAAAAATTACATCATCCCATTGTGAGATGTCCCACCCAGGGGGAGGAGCCAAGCATTTCCTACCTAGATAAAATCTGACATTTGGAACATCAGAGCAGCCTTTTTCCACTGAATTCCAGAGGAAATCCAGCCCTTTCTACATAATCACTGTACCTTTGGAGGAAAACTGCACCTTTCTCTCCAGGACCACTGCTTCAGCTGTCACACCAGGAGGACTGCAGCCACCATTTAATAGGACTGCTACCAACACCCTGACCAACAGGGCGTCAGGTTGTATTCTGACTGTCAGTGTTTTGATTTTCTGTATTAATGTATTTTTATTTTAGTTTTCCTAGTAAAGGACTGTTAGTCCTATTCCCGTATCTTTGCCTGAGAGCTCCTTAATTTCAAAATTATAATAATTTGGAGAGAAGGGATTTACATTTTCCATTTCAAGAGAGGCTCCTGCCTTCCTTAGATCTGTCTTTCAAACCAAGACACTTCCTGGCCAATGAAGTTAGTGACACATACTACAAAAATCTCCCTCTACAAAGGTAAATCCATCGAAATCAAAGCTGTGGGTCCACACTGCTTTCAAGACACTCTAGCTCAAAGAAGCTGAAAATCTCCATGCCAAAAAGAATGCTGCCAAAAGAATGATGCAGACACTCCTAAAAATACACAAGGTAAAACTCAGATTGCAAGGGAAAGAGCTCTCATGCTCCTTTCATTAGAGTGAGAATACCAAATTCGCATTTTCCTTGACCCTGTGACCTGCAGTCTATTCTGTTCCACCACAAAATATCTCAATTCACATGGAAACTACAGGATATTCTACCTTTGTACAGTGAGAGCCTGGATCTGCTTCTTCACAAGAGTCACTCTTCCTACGGAGACTTCTTTTTCCCGTATTGAAATTTCTGGTTTATAGAGTTCACAGAAGAACTCCACCTGTGAAAAAAGCATCAGCATTTCCAATACTAATGTTGTTTACATCACAGTAAGAACACCCACACCATGCTACCAGTATTACTTTGCAGCAAGTTAATTTTTAATGGTAAAATTATATACTTTGCAGGTTTTACATAATCATCACCTAAAATACTGAAGGACCTTAGAAATGTTTTTATCTGTACAAACACCTTTCAACTTAACTTGGTAAAAGTCTTTGCCACTATATCTACTTCATCTACTTCCATGGTAGTCCAACTACACAAACTTGAGCAGTTACTTTAACAATAAACAAACAATCTCCCTTTAAAAAGTCCTTTTGTATAAACAAGGATATTTTGCCAGTTGCAGGGAATAATACATTCCTGAAATGAAATAATGCAAAGAAGGACAATTAGAAAAACCCACACAAGTTTCAGGGATCCATCTGTCAACCTAAAGTAACAATAGAGACTTCTAGAGACCAAATAAATTATTTCGTTTAATTCTGTCATTTATAGAGCTCCGGAGAGGCAGCTGATTTTGTAATCAGTGAGTATGGAACAAGTAGCAGTAAAGACCATGCTTCTCTCTGATCACTCCATTTAAGTGATTAACATTCACTGTAAACTACCTAAGAAAAAACCACATTCTTTGCTACCCTGTGCATCCAGTGGTATCATATGCTTAGGCAGCTGTGCTGTTCCAGCTGTGAAATCCTTTTGTATCATGAGGCCAATTGCTCTAAAACAGGTTCCCTGGAACTTTCAGAGAAAAAAAAAAATGCAGCTGAACATAAAATTGGAGAAAAACATATCCTGGACTGGAATAGAAAGCAAAAAAAAACTGTTCGGAACAGAGAGGTGGACATAATTTTAAACAAAAAACAGGATAACATAGTTCAATTAATCATACAAAAATGCAAGCTATAGGATACTGCAAATTAAGATCATGTTAATTGTAGCTCAACATACCTTTTTTTTGGAAATGTTTAGGTAACTTCCAATAATTTTTGCCATTTTCTGTCTGCTCCCTTGGTTGGACAACATGGCTGTGAAACAGTCCAATGCCTGTCAAGGGGAAAACCAACTTCTTGAAAACAGTTTTGTATGATTTTATCTGACAAGCACCACCTTAATCTAAATGAACCTAAATCAAATCCAACCATTGTAAATAAAACTATTTCATTGTGCTCTGATTTAGTCAAACAAACAACAGAGTTCATAAAGATGCAGTAGGAACTTCTAAACTCTGTAACGTAGTGGGTTTACACCAAAAATTTAAACTTTTCAATGCCCAGTCACAAAACCTATTTTTAGACAAATGCACCAAAATGGAGAAGGAAGTACCATTGTAAGATCCCATTGCCTGTCAAAAGAGCCTCTGACAGATGTACAGCCAAAAAGTTCCTAACCTATACTGTAAACTGATGAATAGGTAAGCAGAAAAGCAGCCCCCTATGACAAGAAAAAGAAAGGTCTCAGCCATATGCAATCACAGCTTGTATCAGCTAAAATTATGTTGCACCACGCTGTTTGTATGATAGCAGTAAATTCTTTTAGCACCTTGCTGCAAACAACTTTCCTAGTAGCAAAAAAAGCTTCTGATCAGAGATCACAACCATTCCAACTACAGTCCAATTGCTTCAAATAAAAATGAACAAATTCCCATCTCACATTCCCAAATAGAGGATTTTGTGAGACAACACCAGAATTTGAGATCAACTGGATCAATTCCTGGATCAAGTCTTACCGCACCTCCTGAAAAATATTCACTGCTGTGGTTGAAGAATTACTGTCAAAGTTGTAAGCAATCCTGCTGCACCAATTCAGAAGGTCTCTAAAAAGAAAAACCAAGAAGATTTGGTACAAACATGCCAAAATACAGCATCTTCTTTAATGTTCAACTTAGGTCATGACATCATCTTCCGGCACTTGCACGTGTAGTTGTTGTGCAAGTTGTACACGGGAAGACATGAAGAGGATGATAATTCTGAGGAGCAGCTGAGCACAAAGACCAGCGTTGCTTATAAACAGATAATGCATACACCATTAAATCATAAGGTAACTGTAAAACTCAAAGGCATTACAGAATCCAGAAAGGTATAACCCCCCCCTTTTTTCAAGATACAGATTCCTTACCAACAACACGATCTTCCAAAAGGAAAGAAAAGGAAACTTTGTTTTAGAAAAAACTGATTTTCTTACGCTCCACAAAAGTATTAGGTACTACCCACACCTATTTATATAACCATATTTGTATACCCATTTAATAACTAATCCACAAAGCACTACTGATTACAGAAATTCCAGAGGAGTAGAACTGACATTTGGTAGGACAGGAAAAAATAATTCAGCAAACTACATTTCATCACAGAATTTCCAAAATTAACAGTACTTTACAGACACAGTTATTTTCAGTCACCTTAAGCTATAATGCTGAGAATGTTCAGCATAAAATAATCTGGATAATACACTCAGTTACTGAAAATGCTATGTTCTAGCTACTGAGAGAACATTATACAGCATCTTCCAGTTCTTAACTAGTACTGACATCTTGTGTTAACAATAATTAAGAATAAATTCATATGGCCCGATGCCAACTAAGTACTGCATATGACAAAACCTATACATCCCCTCACACCTCCCAAAAAGTAAGTCTAGCAAATAGGAAGTTTAAATAATCCAGAATGAGTTTCTTTAAATTACATATTAATCATTATTCTAAAACAAAAAATGTATTTTCCAGCTTTTACAAAATTCACATTTCATTATTTAAGCTTTTACTATTATTTCTAAAAAGTTAAGAAAAATAACGAAAATAAACCCTTCTATCTCTATAGCTAGCTGACTTCCTATGAACATGTAAGAAAAGACAACCTTAGAGATAGTTCTCGTCCCTCCAGATTTGGTTTCTTATGTTCTGATCTCGATTCTGACGTTGATTCTGGCACTTGACTGGAGCCAACAGCAGTGTTTTCTGGTGCCTGATACTTGTCTCCTGCAAGGTCAATGAAAATGCCTAGCAAATGATCTGTCACGAGAGCAAGGTTGGGGTATCTCCTTTGGAGGACCTGAAACCAGAAACAAAAAAGAAAAAAAAATGAAACAAAACAAAAACCAAAAAACCCATCCATGTTGGAAAAAAAATCAACAGCACCCCAGCTTTTAACGGGAGACACTTCAACAGATATTTTAGCTAGCAAGCCACATAAAACTGCTCTTATCTGAATCTCTTATCTGCAAGAATAATCTCTTATCTGAAGAATGTAGAAATTATGACTACTATGATAATGATTTTGATGCCAAAAATGAACTTTGCCAACTCTACTCCAATTCATTCAATGTATTTGCACAAATACGAACAGGAAGAAGAAAATGTACATTCAATCCTATCTGAACACAAATCATGACCATCCAACTTTACAATTACCTCCTGCCCTTCTTTTGTGACTAAATTAATTTGAGCATTCAAATTGTCTATTCACTCTGCTGACAAAGGCACATTAATGGGATAATTTTTCTTCTGTAATTTCCTTTCAGCTCAGTTCTCTCCACTAAAGCTTGCCAACCAAAATATTGCTTCCCAAAATTACTTTCCATAGATACAAGCCAAGAAAACTGGTCCTACCCGGCGAGACTGACATTTAAGATTAACAAGAATGTGAGTCTGCTTTCAAGGCAAGCAGGTGGGTATTCTCTAACACTGTCTCTGATATTACTAGAATTGTATTGCTTAATTTATAAATTTTTGTGACTTAAGTCACAAAGTTGCAGAAAAAGAATAAAAAGAACCTAGTGGTAAGTGTCACAGCTAACATTCAAGTTGTTTTTTTCAAAAGGTTTTGATAGATATTCTTGCCCCATCCTAACAATTAGATGACAAATGTCAAGAAAGGAATAAAACACAGATATTTAAGGCCACCTATAAATGTGCTGGCTGCTGAATGAGTCCAAAGGAGTGAATGAATTGTACTGAAAAAACTATCTCCTTCATTCTAGAAAATTCAGAACTTTCTCCTCAACTCTTCTGCTAGATTTCACTCCATTTTTCCTCAGCCAAGGGCCTTTTAGAATCAGATCCTGTTCTGAGTTCTGTATCACAAGGAGAATCTCCAGAGAATGCTATTTTAATACAAGTGCTGGGCTGCTTTAATCTTCTGCAAAACCACACAAACCAAACACCTCCCAGATATGCTAACAGAAGAAAAATGTTAATAGAAGCAGTTATTTTTAACTGATAAGCAACCAACTATTTTTCAACTCAAACCTTAAAATGAAGAGTAAGTTCAATTTTCTTTTTTGCTATTTGTCGCTGCTTTTAAGTCTCTGTGGGCTAATAAACAGCAAAGTAACTTCATTCTTAGACCCACACAAAGCACAGTTGTGTCTGCCAAGGCAAGTTCCAGGAATCCGTGTTCAATTCACTTCGAATTTTCCTGACAAACTGCCTGTTTACTTCAAAATTGGCAGCACAAAGCTGAAATTGTAAGGGTCTATTGTAGAACTTGAAGATAAAATAAGGATTCAATTAACTACTGAAAAACATTTATTACCCTAAGCTGAAACAATTAGTCACATGCCACAATGGAGCAACACAGCCTCATACCTCCTTAAGTTCTCCTTTGCTCATGTTATCCAAATGTATTTTGGTCCAGTATTTGTCCAGAAGAGCGGCATGGCTGCTTTGCTGCCTGTACCAACCTCCACCACAGCTGAATATCCTAAATCAAAACAACAATGAAGAAACACAGCATGCTGAGTGTGGCTGAAGAATTCAGCATTTTCCGTGCATTTCTGTGCATCAAAGAACATGTTATATACAGCTTCCAGAGCATAATGCAACAAATATAAATTACACTGTTTGTCACTGTACTGTCACGTACCTCACCTTGCCTATCCATGCTTTCCAAATTACTTGTTATCACAGTGTTTTTCTTTCTATATGGCAATATCTCCATAGATATGCTTTCAGAAAGACTTACTGTCAGTTGTCTATCAGAAGCAACATACAGAATTCTTTGTAAAGGGAGAAACCAGACAGGAGTGGCCCGTGAAATACCTTAAAGGATTTGTGATCTTACTGTAGAGATGCAGGAAAAGCATCTTCAGCCCTGCCCCCTCCACAGTGTTTCACAATTATTCTTCCTCATCCTACAGACTCAGCTCTTTCCATCATACATTTCATTCCCTTTGCTCTTTTACTACAGAAATAATTATTCAGCCATGTGTTTTTGCACATGCAAAGCATTAGATTTGGGGTTGTGGTTTGGCTTTTGTTTTCTGGTGGGTTTTTGTTACATTTTTTTCTTCTCTGTTGTATTGTGTTTGGTTCCAGTTGTTAAATACTATTTCCCAGCTGTAAACTGCAACAGATTTATAGAATCTACTCGAACGAGCCTAATGAAAATTATAATTTGCTGCTATACAAACTGTTCACTGATGTGCTGGTTTTGGCTGGGATAGAGTTAAATTTCTTCATAGTAGCTAGTGTAGGACTGTATTTTGCATTTGTGACCAATACAGTGCTGATAAGACAGAGATGTCTTAGCCCTGAGCAGGGCTTCCAGAGAGGCAAGGCCTTTCCTGCTTCTCAGAAAAGCACCAGCACGGCCCCAGCAGAGGAGGGTGAGGGTACACAGGGAGCTGGGGAAGGGACATGGCCAGGAGAGCTGATCCCAACTGACCACAGGGATATTCCATATCAGATGGGGTTGAGCCTAGCATGTGAAGATGTGGGAAGATAGAAGGATAGGGATGCTCAAAGTCATAGGGCTTGTCTCTTTATTTGTGTGGAAAGCTTTTGCTTTACCTAAACTCCATCTCAACCCATGATTTTTCCCACTTCTACTCTTCCAACTCTCTCCCCCATGCTGCTGCAGGGGAGTGAGCCAGCCCGTGTGGTGTTTAGTTGCTGACTGAGGTTAAACCATGACAACCATGCATACAGAAATAAAAATTCTTATGAAATGAGGCAACCAAAGGAGTTGAATACAAAACACTCAATTCCAGAAAAAACAGATCAGAAGAATAAATTTACAGAAGACAAAAGCAGAAAAATTTGTTAAAGGTTTTGAAATAAACTACAAAGCCTTTGAAAACCATGTAACTGCCATTCCCCATACAGACCCCCTAATCTTTAACCTTGATATAATATTATGTCTTCCTAAACAAAAAGTCATTTTGACATCCAAGGCACGAGCCACTACTACAGTGAAACAATCAGGCAGAGTATAGTTTATCTTTTCCTGGTTAGAAAACATTATAAAGTCCTGTATCAATGCAAGACTTTAATAACTACTACTAATAAACCTTCTTCACACAGTAATTCCTAAGAGTGGTATTTTGTCTTGGTGATGGGCTGGTTTTGTAAGGTTCCTCCTAGCAAGGTTCATTCTTTCAGCCTTGTTGAAGTGATTTTTCTGTACAAAGACTGAGATTCACCCCAAAGCTGCTTTCAAGTGAAAAAAAAAATTTCACAGTTTCTATGACTTACATTGCTTGTTAATTGGAAATTGCTAAAATATTCCTACACAAGTACCTTTTTAGTAAGAAGTACTTTGGACTGAAAAGTAGGATACCCATATTCTCAATCTCATCTAAATTTACAAACTTACCTCCTGGTTGCAAAAAACTGGAATCCTGGTGCTACTTTTAAACAGTCACCACGACCAGGAATCAGTAACTCTCTTTTCTCCAAAAGAGGAATCAGCACAGAGATCTGGAGAGAAAAATTATAAAACTTTTTTTTTTTTTTTCAGCGACATTAACAGACAGCACAAGCATCCACACTTATTTCACACTTGAGATGCTGGAGCAATGCCAATGAGCACCATCACATTGCCAGCAACTGCTATTCCCAGACATACTTTCAAGTGATGTTAACAGCAATTGAAGAGTTCCCAGCAATTTTAATCAGCGCTGCAAGTCAAAGGTGTAATGTTTACTTACCTTTTTTTCTCCTGTATTCAAATTTAATGATAAAAAAAATGACAGCTTTTACACTGCAAGTCCAAATCAGAACTGTTTATTTTTAAATTATCAAATTACTTATTAGACATTCAGATCAGAAGCTCTATTTTGTTTATCTGCCTGAATGGAGATGACCTGTGTCTCAAAAATGTCATTCTCAAACATCAACCCTTTTCAGTGTATACACTGCCAGCCCAGGACAGTTTAGTATCTATTTAAAGAATCTACCCTTCCCTGGGGAAGTACAGTAATGGTGGTGGAAAAAAAGAAAGAAGGTATGAACACACCAACCCCTCAGCACAGAGGAAGGCACAAAGAGATCCTTTGATTTGGAGAAAGCAGACAGGATGCCTGCAGGGAGGACCTGAAGAAAGGGATTTGATGAATGCAGAATACTACTCAGGGTATGCTCATCATGAGTGCAATGAGTTGAGTCCACAGAAGCCAGTAAGTGCATGACCCCCCAGCAGTGACCTGTCTGTACTTACAAGCAATATCCATTTGCTTTCTTATAAATTTTCCATTTCTATATCAGAAGCCTAGAACCTAATAAACAAACTGACAGGTTATTCAGTCACACAAAGGATGCTTTATGGAACAGATATGAAAGGAAACAAGCAGAATGTCCAGCAGGCCTATGCAACAAAGTATCTCTATCACACCATTCTTGCAAATTACTTGTTTTCAGTAGCCATTACTTCCAGAGCAAGGATGGATGACTAACTAGTTGCTCTGGAGCCAAAAACACAGGAAATCTGTTAAAACTTATAATGGTAAGTGCAACAGCACATTTTTAATACCTAAGAAATGTGTAAGAAAAAATATGTGGAAGGGAAAAAAAGCCCTACAGAACAAAACACACAAAAAATTTCTTATTACCAGCACCAGCCTCATATATTGTCAATATTCTGTGGTGTTTAGGGTCACATTTGGTTTCAAAAACTGTAACATTATTAAATAGACACATTATCAGACACATTATCAGTGTCAATTCCACTTTTCTGAGTAGCATCAGTGTCAGGATCGCAACTACTCTGCAACAAACACAAAAACTAATGAGGCATGCAAACGTGAAAAAAGGCAGGTAAATTCTTTCCAACCCCTTCTAAAGCAGCAGCATTTGCAGCGTGCTGCTACAGAACCCTGGTGAAGAGACTCCCAAAACTGCCATGATGGGAATTAAGACCAGCACCTTAAAGCAAACATAAAGGCACATACCACATCCAGAGGAGCATAATCGATGTCCTCCAGAAGTATCCAGTGACCTTTGGTAACAGCTTGTGCCAAGGTGCCAGGCTGCCACACAAACTCCCCTGGCACATCTGTGCATCGATACATGCCCAGCAGCGTCTGTGACAGAAACAATGCACACATCAGAGACCTGGGCACCACCTCCCCAGAGCAAAGGATGGCAAACACGACCAAAGCTGGGACACAAGTGACACTTGGACTCCACCTTACTAAACAATCTGTCTGGCAATCTGTGCCCAGTATTGCAATTTTTTTAATTAGGAAGAAAAGTTTCCTGCCTCCACTGGCAATTTTCACTGAAACTTAATAATTAAAACAAATCAGGTAATTGGAAGCTAATTTATGAGCTACACCATCCTAATTTACAAGCAATATAAAGTGACAGAAAACTGTCTAGGGTCACACCAAACTCTAGTTTATGTTTTTGAAAACCTGTGACTAAGGTAGTATACAGAACTATAAGGTGAGTTATTCAAAGGTAAAATCCAGTCAAAGCTTTGCTTTTCTCTCAAATTTGAACCTCAATATTTAAGCATTGCTTTAAAAATTGTGTTTGTGATTTTACTGCTACATATTTTATACCTTCAACTTCACCACCTTTTCTTAAATATGATGGCCTTAGTCTTGCACATGAGAAGATACAGTTGTGCGATGGTGAAACCAGGTGCTCCATACAAGCAAAGAAGATGCTTATGCATGCTAATAAAAACCTTCTGATAACTTCTGGCAGATATTGACCACCTTCGAAAACTAAAAATAAATTGTGCCAAACAATGTAACTGAAGCTCGGAAATTCTCTATGCAAAACAAGAGGTGAAATTATCTACAGATAGAGCTTAATCGTTATTATGCAACTGCAAGTCACCTCAATACCCTAGTATCTTACTTTACCTCAGCTTTATCACAAAGAAAGGTATCAGATTAAACTGACATTAGCTCACTTAAACTGAAATAAAAACATTCATACAACCTTTGGCATCAGAATCCTCCTTTTTCCAAAACAAATCAATTTTTTTAATTTAAAAAAATCAATAAAGCTCTTACACATAGAAAAACCCTGATAAAACATAATTTGAATTATATAGGTTCAGTACAATTATACAAAGAACTTAAAACCTACTGGAAAATAACAGTTATTTTCCTTGTTTATTGATTCATTCTCATCAATATTAAGACCAGTACTAAAGAGTTGGGCACTGTACGGTCCTTGAGTGAAAACATTATTAGAAAACTAAATCCATGCTTTAAGTTAAGTGTCATGATCCAAATATAAAACAAATCCATCAGTTACCTTACTATCAGTTTGATCTCCAAGCTGAACTTTCAAAATATGAGGAGGTTTTGCTCTTCCTGTAACAGCCGCTAAATATTCAATTAAAGAAGTTTTGCCACATCCTATTGGTCCTTCTAATAAAACAGGAGTTTGATATGCTACAGCAATAGCAAGGTTTTGAAGATTTGTGAAGGCAGATTCAACCAAAACAAAACCGCTGGTGTAATTTTCCTGTTCAAACATAAAATTTGGGTTACTACACTGAAATTGCTTTTCTTACAGTTGTACAACATAGAACAATTAGGAAAGTGAGTCTAACAACAAGAAAAAATTTGGCCTGCAGGTCTGCATATAAAATAAAGGAGTCTAAAGTTGTATTTCTTGACAGATATTAAAAGATTTCATCCAAAACCTATTATAAGTGAAACCCTTAATGAAAAGTATACATACAACTTGATCCCAAGGGGAATTCACACTAAGTTGTCAGTACAGCCATAGTAACTATTCGGTCATAACTCATGTCAATTAAATATGATTTTCAATATGAGCGAAATTAAGTCATCAGAATGGATGCAAATAACAGAACAAAACAAACAGCAGTTGCATTCAAATGATGCAAATATGAATAATAAATTAATGAATGTATTTACTTCTTTCTGTAGAGGCCAAAGTATAAGATCATTAAACTCAGTGAATGAAGAAACAGGTATATTCAATAATATTTGCATTTTATTCAAACTTAAATGAATTCAGTTTATTGAATGGTAATTAATCAATGCTACATATAGTCTCCAAGTATTCTGACACTCACAGTCACTTACATATCTATATATGGCACAAAAATTAGTGCTTTGTGCCAAAAGGCTCAGAGGAAAGAAATCAGAGCATTGAAACAAGTGTCTTGTATTTAAGTCTGACCTTTTTTTCAGATATAGCTTGATGTACTTCTCCGGAAACAAGAGAACCTCCTTCCCCTCACAGTTTCCTCCTATACCTTCATCAAACTTCCTAAGCTGTCACTGGAACCTCCCTATTGTAACTGGAACTACACTGTAGACCAGATCAGTGGAATACCTGTGGCTATTAAAAAAATAAAAGCATTACTTTCAGGGAAGTTCTCTGCTCCCTCAGAGACAAAGAGTATTCTTTCAGTTTATAGCATGGCCTGGCTTCAGCACAGCTGCAGCAGCAGTGATGCTGCCATGGGAGTAAGAATCTTCTTAAACAGCTCTACAGTTTCCCCTGCTACAGTGAATTCCAAACTACTCTCTCAATCCTATAAAAAATCCCAAAAGGCTAGAAAACAGTGAATTCAAAAACAGAAGTGGGAAGAAAAACCGGGTGGGGGAAGAGGAATTTGGAGGGAAAATCCTCCTCCTTTGCTTCAGCTACTCAAACAATTCTGGACACTGGTAGTCTCCATTCATTTTTCTGTCCTTTTGTAGATCACTGTTACAAAATTAAATAAAAAAACTCAGCTAAGAGCTAAACCTCAAAAGGTACCTAAAGGAGAAGAACAGTCAGGAATATTGGCTGTAGCTACAAAGAGGGATCTGAACAGCATAAGTTTAATAGCAATTTAGAAGAAAAAAGGTTAAATACTGTCTGTTTAAAAACGTTTATGCCTTCGATGGGCTTCCCAAAACTGCAAGGCACTATATCCTGCATTATATTTTCTCAAGTGGCGACAGTAAATTCCTGCTCACTTCCTTTCTCCTTTCTCTGCCTTCTAGAAGAGTTTAAACAGCAGCCTTGTTTTATTTTCAGAGAAGAACTGATATGTTTGGAGAAAGGTTGCATATAAGATGCCTGTATAGCACAAAAATCCTACGTCATGCAGGTAAAAGCAACTGTCCCAGATCGTGGCTTTAGTCAGCTATGGATTGTCACCCTATCTGAGACTGGAGTTACTACATAAGGCTGAATATTCTTTGGTAGTATGTTTGTACAAACTGCTACATGAAGGTAGAATGAACAACATTATTGCTCCATCACTGCAGAGCTTTTTTGTGGTGCCTGTATTACGCAACACTAATTTACAGCACAGAAAGATACACACGCTACCCACAGTATCTCAATACTGTCTAATCAGGAAATAAAGTCACTTCACTGTACTTAGAAACTCGTAAAACAAAAATGTACTGATATAACTGTGGATCACATACCTGCTCTTCAGAAACATGCTGCAGTCTAGGCAGCACAATGCCACAGACAGCCACTACATGTGCAGAGAGGTCGCCCGACACAACGTGCCCTTGGGTATAGTGCAGCTCTTTCTCCTTTTGCCAAAACGAGGAGTCTGGATTGGCCAAAAGCAAGGCTTGTTCCACATTCTGCAGCTGAGATTCTTCTAGCAATCTGTGAAACCCATGTTTATTAACTCAGCTGAAAGCCATCAAGGAAAACAAATAGCCTTTAAGATTTTAAAAGTCCTTACTTCAGCCTGAAATGTATCAGCTCCTCAGGATTGAATATCTTCTTCAGGAAAGATAACTTATGCTCATCGTTCATGCATGTAACCAGAGCAAGACAGTTTGAAGTGTACCTAAAAATTACATTTAGAACAAAGTATGTCAAAACAGTTTTGAGAAATGTAGTTCGACACGTGTCAATTGCATATTAAAATATCAAGTTTGGAAAAGTGCAGAAAACTTCATTCATAGAAATTATTTTAGCACTATGCTTAACATTCTTTCAGATTAGACAAATATCTCAGAACTGAGGAAAGCAATTCTATCGTGGCACAGTTTTAATTTATACACCAATTAGCTAACATTTCTCTGAAGAACTGAATTATCAGCAGAAATATAATAAAGGAATGCACTTTCCTAAGTAAATGAAGGTTAACAGATGAGACAAGGAAAATGAAGTAATCTTTTTCATTTTTTTCCTCCTACCATTTCCCTTCCAAAATTGCATTTCATGCTATTTCTAAAGTAAACTTAATGCAATGAAATCAATTCTGAGTGCCTAAAAAAGCCAACAACTCCCAAGTCGTGACTATAGAAAGCTGTCTTGCAACAAAGGACCATTTAATATAAATCATAAACCAGTTTTCATTCATTATAATGCTGTTTTTAACTTCCAAGAACAGAGTTTTCAATGAGTGTGATGGGGGAAAGAAAAGTAGGCGGAAAATTGTTTCAGGACAAATGTTTAAAAGCCAGCTCATTCACTTACTTGAGACTATTGGTTGAACACCAGGTAAACCAATTCCAGTCAATGAATTTGAACTACAAGTCCTATCTCTTTTTTTGATACTAAGTATCTCATTTTGAAGAGTTTCACATAAATTATAGATTTGACAACACTCTTGGTTCTGCCCTTCCTAAATTATACACCTTACTTAAATTATGTGTTACTAACACAGTTCTGAATTTATGTTTTGAAAAGTGAAGCCTATTAAGCATCTTTTTTAAAATAAAAAGCACTATCAGTAATACCACTGACATAAATAGGGCAGAGCCTGTGATTAGGCTGAAGCCCTGTGAACAGACACCTAACATGAAAGATCTGACCAAAATCCCACACGAAACCTCTAACAAAGCCAATACAAAGCACAGCTTAAATAAGCTAAGTTTTACAGCCACTGAGAAACCTACACACAGACAACTAAAAAAATAACCAACTTGGGCAAACTGAAATTATTTGGAAAGATTCTCTAGACCATAATTTTAGCATTACTAAGAGCCAGCCTAAAATTCACTTTGCGATAGATCACTACAGCTTTCAAAAGGTCAGTTAAGAAGTACAGGTACAGATACCATTGGTATGGATTCCTGGAGGTTTTAACTTACCAACGGACTAAAGTGTCATGACTCCTTAGGAGTGGAACACACACGCTCCAGTCCCAAAGTTCCCGGAAAACTGATGGCTCCTTTTGTAAAAATCTATAGGCAGCCTCCATGAGGTCCCGTAACTTCATTCGTCTGCGCCCATATCGGACTGTGTTTGCATCTGAGCTCTCCAGGAAAAGCCTCTGGAAAACTGGTGATGTAGTTTTGAAGTATCTTAAAGCAAATCTTTAGAAGAGAGAAGGAGATGGAACACAGACATGTATGTCAGAAGAAACGCACTAACAAAAATGTCAGGGCACATGTTCTAAGACAGTAATTGAGGGCACTAAGAACTGTGACCTATAATTAACTTTGTCCACACAGGGTAAGACAACCACTTCAGCAGCCAGCTGACAACAGACACTTCATTCACCTTATTAGAAATCAGTATTTAACTATCAAGGGGAAATTTGCTTAAAACTTTGATTGCTCTTGTTCACTGAAAAAGTAATACTGATTCCTACTTATGTAACTTTATATTCTACCAGCCTGGAGGTCTAATATTAAACTCGGGGATTTTGACTGTGAGCTATTTTTGTGGCAGCTGTTTTGCTTTTCTGTAGCTCACAGACGAAAGTCAAATTGCATCTTACAACACGATTTAATTAAACTGTGTTTGAGACTCATATTTACTTAATAATAATTTCTCTTAAAAAATGCATTTGTTACTGCAGGATACAATTCAAATCCTGACATCACCTCTCTTCACCAGGAACACGAACAAGAACATTCTGCCTGGATGAAATGTTAACTGCAATGTTAATGGTTAATGACTCAAACAATTGGCCATTTGTAAAGGAGCAAGCAGTGCTTTGCTGAGGATGTGCAGGGTCACAGCCCAGGGGCAGAGCGGGTGAGCACCCATCACCGGGGGCTACAAGCTGGGATTTGGGCCACATCTGGAAGAGACCAGGAAGAAGCAAATCCTGCAAGGTGCGATAAAGCTTTCTATCATGACAATGTCTTCCCTTACACAAGCGGCTCAGATGTGAAAGCCCCCCTCGGGGAAGTACTGGGACATTCACACTGAAGGTTTTCATCCCTTCTGATGGAGCATAACTGGCTCAACTACATTAGAGATGAATCAAAGATGCACAAAGTGCCCCCAGATTCACTTTTAGGAACTGCCACCAAAGAACTGGTCACGATCCACAGAGTTGCAAAACAGCGTAAAACTCCCCCCACCAGGGGAGGTGCCTCGGCATTCCCTCCTGAACCTGAGTGTTTATTAACCCAAGAAATTTTGTGTTCCATGGGCGTCCCCCACCTCCTGATGGATCAACACTTCGACCATCACTTGGACCAATGGACACTGAAACTGCAACACCCAAGTCTCACCACTGGATCCGTGGGTAGTGAGATCTTTCTGGTTTTACCCTCTTCCTTTCTATTCTTAGCCTCTTTCTTTCTTTTCCCTTATACATTTTCTTAAGTGTTATTTTTTGTGCTTATAAATTACACACACATACATATATGTATATATATTTATACAAAAACACCAGTCAGTCAGGATCCTTCTCTCAAATCCATCCCAAAGGATCTATTAACAAGAACGTGAGCTACCCTGCCTCCAGGGGCAGGCTGTAACACTTCCAAAGTTCAAACATTAACAAATCATTACTCACGGCAAAACATCAGGGTGGTCAGCAACCAGCTTGCTCATTGCTACACACAGCCTTTCATGGCGATCATGGTTGATTTGGCCACCAGCTTTAATAGCTTCTGCATTTCTTTCCAACAAATCCAGCAGGATGGGCCGAACTTGACGGCCGATCAATACAGTACATTCTTTATCCAGCAATAACTGCGCCAAAGTATTGAGGATGCACTGACGATCCTGCTGAGTCCAAACCTAAAGTAATAGGAAGTGAAAACAGGTTAAATGGAAAATTATTTTGACTTTAAACTTCAGAACTATTCATGCAGGAGTCAGAGTGAATTTTACAGCAACAAATAGCTCAAAGCCAGAAGGGAATCCAAAATCCCAAAGCAAGTACTCAATTGACACAGTTCTCAGTACTTTAAAAAAAAATTACAATACAGAATGAGTAAGATGTAGAACGATACTCTAAACAGGAATTACAAAGTAGTCCCAAAATCCTAAATCATACTTTACAACTACAAGAAAAAGCAATTTGTAAATTTTTTTTTAAAGAAAAAGATTGGGAAAATGTTGAAACAACTAATACATCTTTCTTCCTAGAATTTCCATTGATCTTAACAGCCTGGTCTCATGACAGCCAAAAAACATTTAAGAATTTGAGTTAAGTTGCTTCATGTTCACGATCTCTTTACAAAAAAAGAAGCATTCAGTCAGTCATGATCACAGCCTTATTTTCATAGTTCTGACAAGAATTACAGCGAGCAATGCTCTTAACAAGAAGCAGCTTGTATCTGCAGTTTTGAAGTTGAAATTATTTTTCTTTTCATACTGTTATACAAAAATAATAATTTAGTATTTTAAAATAAAGGAAAAACATACATCTGCCAGAAGAAAGAAAAAAAACCAAGCCAAAACACCTTAGCCTCACATCTCCTCCAGCCCTCCTAACTTTGTTACTGACGAAAAACCCAGTTATTGTGCTGTACCCTTCAACTTCTCTGCTCTTAGAGCTCATGTTACTACCCAAGCATCTCTCCACTTCTATTATGTTTAACACACACTGCAGTATAAGTAATTTTGAAAACCAGGATTATGAATTTGCACTTTAGCAGATTTTTGCTCTTAACTCGGATGCTCCATGCTCCCCTTCCTTACTGAGTGAACCCTTATCCTCTTTTCAAGACAGAAATATTCTGTAATTCAGGTAGTTTTTTGTTTCAGCACTACACGCAGCCAATTCCTGCTTTTCCTAGGCTTTGGTTACTTGGGGAAGACCTGCTCCTGGTCTCACAGATGGGATGGTTTCATTGTGACAAGAGTGCAGTGGTCCTTTGATTATACCACTGTCTACACCCTTCTAGAACACATGCAAACCTCCTCCAGTTCCTTGGTCTCCTGAATTTGAAAAGACATTCATCTCCAATACAGCATTAAGAAGCCAGGGAAACCGAGGCACATACACTACAAATTATCAAACTCATCACATTAATTGCAAGCAGTTTCTTACAGGCGTTCACTTTTACACAAGTTTATCTGCCTGTCATCTATCACAGCAGCATCAAAAATAATTTTGAAAACGGAGCAAGGCCCTGTTCATTATAGGGAATCAGATTTTGAGTGGCAAAATGACTGATAAACTGTTCAAAGGCAGAATGGCCCAAAAGAACCAGAAATAAAGTCCACCACTGGAAAAATAAAAAAATCCCAGTTTTCAAATCAATTACATCTTTGGCTACCCAAACAAGGCACAAAAGGGTGCTCAATTTATTAACCAGCGTTAACAATAAAATAACGTGACAGATTCAGTAAAATTCTGTATTTACATATCTACTGTACATCAAATTCATGCCATTAGCAATTTCCTGAGAGGAAGCAGGCTTTTTTTATCGTTGTGTGCAGTACCCTTAGGACATATAAAGTTTTTCAAAAATCACAGTGACAACATTCACATTCCACAAAGAGACTTTCTATCTGATATCGGAGCCTAAATGAAAAATTTTATGGAAAAGCAGAATACTGTCAGAGGGTTGTTTTCTTTTTAACTAAACATAGCTTTATGAAATACTAGCTTTTTTAACCAATAGCAATAGACAGCTGATCTGAAAGTGCTCAAGTCTGGGATAGCATATCTGCACATTTGGTTCCAAACAGCTGCTTTAAGAAAGCATCACAAAAGCCTGTGCCTCCAAACACAGAACACATACATACATACACTGTCTATCATTAATGAGACACAAGGCAGACACACAGCAGGGACTGAGACCTGGAGTCAGACATGATCCCAGTTCCTGCTCCAACAGCAGGATGCACATCTCCTACCCAACCTGCAGAGTACCTTTGCTCAGTGCACACAAGGTACAGAAATCTTTAATAATACCTAGCTTAATCCAAACCCTAAATTCATAAAAGAAAGGATCACAGCAATGAGCAAGCTGCTATCAAATGAAATTCACATCTTTGCTCATGACACACTGGTTACACCAGACACAGATTTAACTCTGGGATACTCCTGAAGAGCTGGAGGGCATGAGAAAAATCCTTCTTCCCCTCCAACACAGGAACTCATGTTCTTGTCTCTGTTCCCTCACACAACAGCTGAATGACTGTGCAGCAACCAACTTAGCAAGATGATCCAAATTAATCCTTCTTACAAGGATTCTTTCTCACAGGGTGGGAAAGCTGAATGGATTTTCCAAATCAGCACTCTTACTAAATTCAAGGTAAGAGAAGCAGCACAAAGGTATGGCTTGGCCTCGGGAAGAGGCTAAAAGAAAACAAAGCAGCATCACCTTTTTGGCAGATGTTCAGTTCAGCAAGATAAACCAAAACATGAGCCCGCACTCTTCCTATAAGCCACACAGTTTAAGGGGAAAAAAAAAAAAATAAGGGGAAAAAAAAAAAAAAAGCAGAGGTGATATGCAGTCTCATAGGAAGGACAAGCTGGAAATTCCTAAACCTCCTCCAACACATCTTTGACAGAGTTGGACAGATTTCTCCCTCCCAAGAGAGGATGCAAGCAAGAAGTTTCTTGTTGACTTTGTATCAGTGGCATAAGGTGTGCCAAAAACCACAGCTCTTCAAAAACCAGCAGGAGATGACAATACAGACCAACATGGAAGCCAAAGTGCAACACACCTTCCATTATTTCTAATGCTACACAATATAAAGTCTAACTAATCTTTCAAATAAAATGTTGAAGTCACATTTTAGTATGAAAAAACCTCTGCCTTAGTTGCCAGAGCATCATGACATTTTTCTGACAGGCAATGGGTAACTGTATAATTCTGAGACCACTAGGTCACCTCCTTTTTCCTACATTTATTAATATAAAGGAATAAAGGCATTTCTCAACACCTAATGCCAAGACTGAAGGACTAAATAAGAGCTCGGAATTATTATTAAAACAACTTTCACTGCTACATAGAAAAATGAAAGGCAAAATGAAGGATGCCAAGATAAACCACCAACAAATTAAAAGAGAAAATCAAGAATGGTGTGCTCAAGATCTCCTGTCCACTTAGGATGGTTGTGTAGACTAAATAGAAGAAATATCCAAGGGGGTCAGGTTCTTTGATAAGTATCTTTCCATATAAGCACAGTGCTAGATGCAAAGGACAGAAACAACTAAAGGTGTTTTTGCATTAAAGTTCCATTCCTAAGAGTGGAATCTTCACAGTGATTAACTTCTCTACTGAAATTACACGATCACAGGGAACCAAAATACATACATTTGCACAAAATTCACATTTGGAATTCTATGCAGGAAGCCTTTCTGGCAGAATTCTGGTAACTCAGAGCCAAAAGCACATTCCAACAGTTTGTGGAGACCTATTGCTTCTAGTTTGCTTAAATTATTCAAATTTGTACACGTAGGGAACAAAGACTGGCTCAGAGAGCTTTTCATCCCATATTCCTCATTAAAAGCACAGAAATTTGCTGTATCTTTGCAGAGTTCACGGTATATAAAAATACTTTACAGAAAAGGCTCTAATTCTATTACATAGCCAAGCACATGAACCACATGACCACATGAACTGTGCTACACTTTGAACCTCAAAAGACTGCTCCTTACTTAGCAGCTGTGGGAAGTTTCATTTCTTTGTGGAATACTGTTGAAAAAATAAGCTGCCAGAAAGACATAACAACACTGCAGAGCAAAGATTGCTCTAGAATTCCAGAATATATGCTTCCTAGGTTATATACGAAGCAACTTGTAGGAAATCAGGAATGCTGTTTAGTGATGGAGTTTGCTTACTGACAAGACAAGCTTAAAATAATCTTAGAGCTGTAGCTTCCGAGCCTGGAAACAGCAATTCAGTTTTCCAAAGAACGTGACACTGTTAAATAATGCGCTGTTCCAGATTCCCTCTATACAATCACTCTTCAGGAATTTCCACCCAGCAAGGCTTTTAAACCTGAAGCATATCTCCAAACAGTCACCAAAAGGGAGAGGGCACAGTGTCTTTCCCAATCTGGGATCTCAGTGACTCACTTCTGGTTTGCTGCTCTGTCTGCCATTATAACTTCTATCCATATCATCCCCGTTTCTATTTCTCAGCAGCTTCTCTCTCTTGAAACACAACTCTTCATCCCTGCTTCCCACCAATTAACTTCCACTCAGGACTACGTATTCACGTCAATTTCACTTTGATCTGTGATTTGCACTGACAGAAGAAAGAGCCATCTGTCTACCAAAAGAGAACCTTGAGTACCAGTATGAAAGCCTTCCCCGATCATAACTGAGACAGCAACTCAGGCTAAAAGCCAATATTCTGAAAAATATGATACTTTAAACTTTTCATCTTCAAACAACTGGGACATTTCCTAGACACTCAAAGAGAAATAAAGACTTTGAGCCCCAAAATGTGTAGACATCTTAGGGGCTTCAAAAGCTCTATCATGAAAAATACTAATAAAACAATATTTGATATTCTGATATCATGTTATTACATATCTCAAGCATTTCAGAGAAAGAAAGGAGATTGGCCCTAACTCTCCTAGAAAGCAGGTGTGCTCTTCAGAGCTAAGGCAGCCTAAGCATGAAAGTGACTATAAGACCATGTTTCCAGCATCACTACAACCTGTGAGACCGTAATTTTAAAAAAACCTCAAAGCAAAGCTTAGAAAATCCATGCCTCTTTTTATCCCACATGCTGCTTTAAGGTAACTAAAGAAGACACGCAAAATAGCATCAGGGTAGGGACTAGTTACTATCTCAGTGCTTGATAATAAAATGCCATCTCTTGCTGTCACGCTTCCAGAGTCACCTTAGGAGACATGAAAAGAAGGGATCGAAGATTTTAACCGCGGGGCGAGGAAGGGTACCAGGATACAGAAGAGGACCTTCCTTATGGGCTGTGCCGGCGCATCCCCGAAAGGGGCGAGGAAGGCAAGAAACAGCTCCAGGGAGAGAGGGAGGGAGCGGGGATCAGCTCCTGCCAGCTGCCCGAGGGCCAGGGACGGCCGGGGGGTCGGGCACGTACAAAGCTGTCAGGTGGACATGGCAGCACGGGGGAGGCAGAGGGGTGCGCTCCTTTCGCTCCACAGTGGTCCCTACGCGACCCTCCGTGACGGAGGGAGAACGGACATCCCAGCTCGGGGGCTGCCACCGAGCGCCGCACCGCCCGCTCCTTACCTGCTTCGCCAGGAATCTGCTCAGCTCCACGCCGCTCTTCTCGTTCCTGCGCGCCACCAGCTGCAGCGGCTCGGCCAGGCGGAACCGCAGGTCCGCCGCCATCCTGCTGCTGCTCGTCCCGCGGCGGGGGCGCGCAGCACGTGCGGCGCGCGGCGGACACGGCACCACCAACTTCCGCTCTGCCGCCGTCACGGGAAGCGCGGCCTCCTCGCCGCCCCGCCCCCCGCGAGGCGCCCTCCGCTCTGCCGCACTACAACTCCCGGCGTACACCGCGCCGCCCCCCCTCTGCTGCCGCGGGCGCCGTCCGGGAGCGGAGCGAAGCGAGGCTCTCCCGTGGACGCTGGGCGTTGGAATCTCGCCCGCGTGGGGCTGCGTTCGCCTCGTCTTTGGCCTCTCCCGCTCTCTGCTCCCTGGACAGCCATCTGCCGCCGCAGGACTCGCCTGCCCGCGAGCCCTTTAAATCTGGGTCAGGGAGGCGGCGGAGGGCGGGCGGTGACGGACGCGGCAGCGGGTGGCCCCGGCTCGGGCGGCAGGAGCGTTACGCCCCCGGCGGCAGCCGCTCGTGGAGGCCGAGCGCGGTTGTCGGGCGCTAACGATGTCCCTACAGGGGTTTGACAGCGCGATCGCCGATAGCAGCAACCGCTGGGATTAAACCTTGGGCTTCCCGGGAGCACTGCCGCAGCAGCGGGGAACGGTACCAGGTGAGCGCGCGTGTGTCGTGCGGCGCAGCCCCGGGCAGCCTCCAGCGGCCGCGGCACAGGCCTACGTGACTAGCGATTGTTGTGAGCTCCGGGCCGGAGCAGACGGGAGGCTCCCGGCTCCTCCTGCCGGGAGCAGCGCGCGATTTCCCGCGCTCGCGGCTGGGCCGGGATGGGGCCCGTGGTCGGGCAGGGGGGAGGGGGCGGAGCCACGAAGGAGGGGGCGGGGTGCGGCCGCCCCGCGCGCCTCAATTTGGCGCCAACTGCTCGGGTTTGGGGGCGGGGTTTGTCGACGTCACGGCGGTGGATGCGCCGTGCGGCCGCGGCCGTTGGCTGGCGCGGCGCTGGCCCCGCCCCCCGCGCCCGGCCTGCGGTACCGCGGCGGCGGCGGCCGGTGAGTGCTCCCGGCCCTGCGCGGGTCCCGCCGTACCCACCCTCGGCTCGGCACCGTACGGTGCGGCACGGCACCCCCGGGTACAGCCCGCCCCACCCGGGCCCCCGGTGGCTGTGGGAGCCGCGACCGAGGGTGTTCCTGCCCTGACCTCCGAGAGGTGTCCAGAGCTCTTCGGCCGTGGCAGGAATTGGGGCGGCGGGAGCCTCTAACCGCGTGTGCGGGGACAGCGAGGCCTGGAGAGCGAGGAAGTGCCGCTGCCTCTGAACGGGCTGGGGGCGGCTCAGCGCTGCTCGGTGCCTGTGCCTTCCCCCCTGCCAGCCCCCCAGCCCCCCTGCTCGGTACTGGTTTGACTGGTGGTGTCAGACAAGGGGCAGTGCTCTTAAATGGTTAGTAGGGAAGAAATCAGAGTCACAAATCAGATTATTTTAACTGGGTAAGATGCGCGTCCAGATAACCTGTTCATAGAATGCAGTGCTGGTTTTCATATCGAAATTTCTTTGTAGGATCAATAAGTGACAGTTGAGGATCTTCAGCATGATTATTCAAGTAACAAATAATTTCTTATGTTTCTTAAAAATTCGGTTTCTTGCCTTAATCTAAGAGTTTTCTCATTGTAGTGCTGGATTTATTGAAGAACAGGGGCCACAGGTGGCTCAGATGTAATTGACATACTTCAAGATGATGCTGCTGCTTTATGTTGCTGTTCTGAAATTTTTAATTAATTGGTTCCCTTTGCTCTGATATTTTACTCGTAGATGGGGAAGCCATAGGGAGTTTGTATCATGGCAGCAGATGAGGATGGACTGGGACTGTATGATATCCGCTACAGTGGTAAGAAGAGTTAGATTACTTCCTGGTTTGTGGGGAGTTAATGCAAGCAGTCTTATGCAAATGCATAGGTCCAGAAATAACTTAGAAAACACATTTGAAGTTGTAACATACTGATGAGCTTCAAATGTAATTATATGGCTGTGGCACAATATCATGCAAGCCATATCCCATTAGTAAGTTTATATTTAAAACCTTACCTATGTACTTTGGATTGCTGGAATGTTTTGAGAGGGTGCCCAGAGCTGGTCTCTCCCCCGTCTTCCACAGTGTATAATTAAACCTTCTTTTGTATCTTAATGAAGCTTGCATTTGAACGGTGAGGGGCACTGCCCCTTTGTTTGCTGTTTGTAAGAGCCAATGTGCTAGCAACTGCCACAGTACTCATAAGCAAGGTGCTATTTATTTCCAGCTCCACAGTTGGTTGATTTGACACATCTTTGGGAGATTCCCAGTCTCAGAAGGACTGTGGATATTGATGTTTTTCTTTATAGCAATAATATTTGTTGCAGAAATGGAGAGGTTCACATAGAGGAGACGAGAGTGATAAGAGGCATTGGAAAAAGACATGAAGAGAGACTGAGGAGATTTAGATTAAAATACGTTTACAGAGCCAGTTAGTGTGTGAGTAGATGGCAATACTAAAGTAAATTGTTTGTATTATGATACAGACTGCTAAATACTTTCTTTTTAGCAAGAAATCTTTCTTTTAACAGTAGTGGTTTTATCATACCAAATCTTTTGGTTTTGAGTTGTATATGTTTTGTATTCAGTGTATTCTGGAAAGCAGTTTCAAAGTTAGGTCAAGTTTACGTAATTTATCATTTTAAAATCTATTTGCTGTAGTTTGCTTTATGCACAGTTCTTGTAGTATTTATTAACTGATCTTACAAGACTGTCTTTGCTCCCTGGTGACTAAAGATCTTTTCTCCATGGTAGCAGTAGTTTCCTGGATAAAGTTCCCCTTTTACTGGTCTGTACTATTACTTCTACTATTTACTACTGGTATAGGATCACAACTACACATACTTTATGGGAAAGGTAGAGTTTGCAGTTCGCTAAATGCCTACATTGGCTTTTTTCTTTTTTTTTTCTTTTTTTTTCTTTTTTTCCTCCGTTGCTTTAGCTGAAGCTTCCCCCTTCAGGGAAGGAGATGAGAGCTCAGTGGATATTTATGATGGCTTGGACAGCAGTTTGTCGATTTCTGGTAGGTTAATTGTGTCTCACTGCTTGGTTTGGAACATTATGGAGTCTCTGCATCTTAGGCTGATTTCAAGTAAGACAATATTTAGTTTTAAGTTTACATTTAGCTGGTGTGACCTTCAGTGAGCAACTTGTTTAAATTCAAGATATATATATTAGGCTGTATAAGTGCAGCAGAGAATTCTTGAATCTATTAGCTGAATGAATGAAAGACAGTTTTCCTCTGATATTGGCTATTTGAAGATACTTGGGCATTTAAAGGGGTGCAGAGAAACCTTAGCTATTTTATCTGTGCCTTGATAATAGGACATTTTACCTTGGAAAAAACACCTTTATTTTGTGCTTTTATAAGCTTCAGGATGAGATCCAGCAGTCACTGTTGACTAAATCCCCAGTGAGAGATCTAAAACATACTTTCTATATTATAGAGTAAATTCAGGATATCCTTTCAGCCTCTTGTTACTTTCCAAATAATTTGACATGCTAATGTAAATTAATTTCCTGTTTTAATGTATTTGAAGGTGAGAAATAAATGGTTCCAGCACGTGTTCTTTTTTGTGAGCCTTAGAGTACTGTTTAATGAAATGCTCTTTCAATATTTGAGCAATTATTTCTCTCCTGATATTACTGTCGTAAGACCATTGAATTTTTATGAATAACTGTACTATATCCTACAGACATAAAGTATTTATATGTCTTTTTCTTTTATTGCATTTTGTATTTAAGTTTATGTTTCACATATGGAGTTGCACTGTTTAGTAAACAATAAAGACACAAGGAAGAATAGCAAAGCAATGTAAACATTTTATATAGTCCGATTTTGAGAGACCTTGGTTTTCTAAATTTGAAGAGAGGACTGGTGAGATCTTTGCTTTGTACAGATAAGATAGTATTTGTATATTCTCTTGCATTGTGGTAGTAATACTTTTTGCATTGTGGTATTGTTCACAGGATGGAAGCTCAGCTTTGATAGCTGACTTCTTTTATTTGCCTGCAAATGCATCTATATTACAGGGGTGTCATAAGCCAGGTCCTGTCAGTTAAGTGTATTTGGTGAATGGAGTGCCCAGGCTGATTTGAGAAAAAGCAACTGTCATTAAATAATTTGTGTGTTTGGGTGTTGGCTTCTCAGTTGGTTTTGGTTGCTTGGGGTTTTTTCGTTTCACTTTCACTTCACTTACAGATGGCTATTTCAAGAAATCTCTGTACCTTATTGCAACATGGTATGACATAAGCATGTAATAAATATTTTGTGTGTTGTTACCTTGTAAGTACAAGAAGTAAAACCAAAATGCACAGACAGTGTAGAACAGTGTGTACAATGTAACATGGCTAGAAAAATACCTTTTTCCTTATGTAATTGCTTTTCTTTACATAGACAATTTCGCTGCAAATACAACACCATCTAGAAGCAGCTTAAATTTATTTGATGAGATATTAATTGAAGAAGGGACTGCAAAGAAAGCATCCTATGATGAGGTATGTATTAATATGGAAAAAAAAATTCTGGTGTTTTGGGGGAGGGGGGCGTTTGTTCCAAATTTCCTTGTGCAAAAAGTACAGAAAATGTTGTCAGCCAGCTCATATTGCAGGAAAAATAGGCTGTTTCTAAATAAGTAAAAACAGGAGTGTGCTAATAAACTCTAAGAACAACAAGTTCATCTGAACAATGAATCTGTCACTCTGTGACATGATCTGTTCTCATTTCTCATCCTTTGCATGCAGTTAAGTTATCAGCTGTGTTATGGAAAAATGTATTGTGGTTTCCCTGGATCTGGTCAGATATATGATGCAAAGCTCGTCTTGATATTTCTCCCAACAAGTTTTACCAGACTAAAACAGATAAATCCAGGACCTATCTTATGTGTTGTTAAATTCTGTCCTTGAGACTGAAGGTGGCTGTGCAGTAGGTAACTGCTTCTAGCAAATCAAGACAGCACTCACTTAAGTAGCATCACCTATCCTGGCCTGTGAGACACATTTGAATGGCATGAAAGAGACAGGCATCCACAGATGTTATAGAACAAGCAGGAGCAGACCCTCCAGGACTCCACTGAGTGATGAAACTATCACTATGAAAGTTGTTAACTGTTTGAATGGAAATTGTCCGTTCTCTTGTGAAAGCTTTGTCACTACCTACCTCTAAAGAAGAGCTCATGCCAAATTTATTTTATTTTACTTTGTGATCTTAGCAGGATCCTGTCCTTTGCAGTCTATTTTTACAGTCCGAGTTTGTTTGTAGTAACTTTTTGTTGTGTTTTTCCCTACTTGTTTTGTGTTACATAAAATCTGACAAGAGAGTCCCCATCTATTTGGCTCTCAGAACTTCTGCTCCTTGGTAATTGTGTCTTTAATTTCACAATAATATGGCTTCGTGTTATTCTTAACCTATTACTGTGAGGCAAGCACACATAGATTTCCTCTTATCTGAGTGTTTGTGTTGTTTTAAAGACATGTATACAAATTGGAGGATATTGAAGCCTTCTGTTTCAGTATGTCTTTCATATGTTTCTTTGGGGGGGAAAACAGAGGTTTGTAATATACATTAGTGTGTTAACTAACTATAGATCTAGAGAAGTAACTCTTCTGTTTAAGTCCACTTTTGTGCTGTGAATTCTCTCTTTGACAGTTGCAAGCAGAATATGGAAAATGTCAACAGCAAATTAAAGAGCTGATGAAGAAATTTAAAGAAATACAGGCACAGGTATTGTACTTCAAAGGCAAATATTGTCAAGATCATGCAAAGAAATTAAATATTGCTTTGAGAATGCAATTTCATATGCTTTCCAGACTTGATCCCTTGCATGAATGGTTTGTAAAGCACACCCCTGTAGATGCTAGGAGCTTGGTCTGCTTAGGATGGTTGGCAGGAATAGCCTGCTGACAAGATCAGTAGGTAAATTAATTTGTTCATGATGTTGTGTGCAGTAAAACTTTATTTGGTTGAAAGCTATCTTCTTGTCTTCTTAATTAGAAAGTAGACATGTCAGATGAGTAGTAATCAGAAAGGTCGCCAGTACTCTTGTTTTTTTTAATGCACTGTGGAAGGGGCTGTAAAGTTACCTGAGCTGTCATTAGAGCTGGAAGCAGATTGCTTTGAGCATATTCCCATTCTGATAAGTCTGAGCTGCTCTTCAGCTTGAGCTGATGTTCCCTTGCTGTGCCATTCTGTTGATCTGCATTATTTGGGGCAATTCTACAGTGTGCTCTACTGCATATTACACATAACTCACAACGGTTCTAAGGTCTGCAGTGGTAAGCAGCTGCTGCCCTGTGACAATTCTGTATTGTTTTCTGCAAAACTTCTCTGCCTTCCTGAACAGGCCCTGTGGAGGACAATATCAAGAGAAGGGACTATTTCTAGGGTTGACAGGTCTCTAGAATATTATACCTAGTAACGTTAAATGATAAAGCACCCAAAGTTGGTTTTGATACCTTGAAAGAAATACAATTATCTCTGAAAGTGTTTTAGAGCTACATCTCATTTGATACATAGACCAAGAAGACAATAAATTGAGTAAAACAGTGAAGCAAAGAGGTGGATTATCACTTCTTAGCTCACCTGTTTCATGGCATATTTCAGTTTTATTAAATTGTATGCTTGAAATGTTTAAAATAATTACCACAAACAGAACCACAAGACCACAAACAGAAGCATAAATATGAGTCATATTAAAAAAAACCCAGTAATTCTGATTTCTTCCAAAGAGTTTATGTATGTTTTACTGTAATTTTGCCAGTGATTGGACATTTTTCTAGTGGTTGTCTTGCACTGTTTTTCATTGCATGTTTGGATATCCAAGCTAATTCTGTTTTTTTCTTTTCCTCTCTCTCGCTATCCTTTTTATATATATTTTAAATAGAATATCATTCTACAGAATGAAAACCAAGCTCTCAAAAAGAATATTTCAGCCCTTATCAAAACAGCAAGAGTGGAAATTAACCGTAAGGATGAAGAAATCAGCCATCTGCGTCAAAGGTACAAATAGACAATAGAACTGAAAAAACATGCTTTTGGTATGATCATGTTTATATACTGTTGTGTGTATTTTAAGAAAAATTAATGGAAAAATCATTACTTAGTAAATTATTGTGTAGTTTAGAACTAATATGATTAGAGGAAATTCATGTCTCCTTTGCCTGATGAGGTCTTTAGCTTCTGCTTTAGAAACCAAGGAGCAGCCCAAGTGTGACCATTTGCATTAATTTTTGTTTGTAATCCACTGTTCCTTGTGGGTTATCTAACCATCTTACATATTTGAAAGCATTATCTTACTAGTTTTGAAGCTGAATTGTGTGCTTTATGCCCTCAGACATGAATTCCATGGAACTTTTCAGACAACAACTGAGAAGAAATAGATTTTATAATGTTTTCCTGGCAAGATATGAAATCCCTGTCTCCAGTGGTGGCGGGATAACTAGAGAATTCTTGGGTTTTTTCTGTGTACCACTGATGTTAATGGAAGCAATTGAAAACTATGAAGTATGGATTGGAGAGTAGCTGACAGTAAGGTTTCTGAACCATGTAAAGCCAGAGCAGGGGTTCAGGATTCAGGATGCCATCTTGTCAGAAGGTTACATCCCTGTCACTTGCCTGACCCGTCATTGGTTTGTTTTGTATTTTGTTTTGACCTTTTGATATTTTCTTGCACCAAAGCATGTTGTAAAAAAGGTTCCTTTGATGTTCCTGTGCTAAAGGATACGTGCATATAAACTATGCAGGTTTCTTTGCTAAATACAGAGAATTACTTGAGGGAAGTCAAGAGGTTTATTACACGTGTAATTCTTTCAGCTGATCCGCTTTCACACAACAGCTGTCATTTTCACACCTTTGAGTACAGTATTCTGAATTTTAAATTTTTTTTTTAATACTTTTTTTTTTGTTTTGAACATTTAACCACTTTATATACTTGAAAGCTCCATTGCAATACCATCTGATGGTGGTGTGAACGAGGTATTTGATCTAGGTATTTTGGAAATATCCATCATGGGAAATTGACACCCTGAGTTCTTAGAAATATGCCTTGCCTGCTGCATAGTTTATAATAAATTAGCTTTTCTTAAGCAATGCATCTATCTGAAAAGATTATTTCAAAGTTAGTATCTCTCAAGGAATTGTTATTTAATATGATCACTTCTCAGCAGTAGCCCTGATGTGGCCCTGATGGTTATCATAATGTACTACTTGTCTTGTGGAGCTTGCAACAACTCCCAAATGTAGTTTATTGACTTACTGAGGGTTTTTAAATTATTGTTATTTGAAATACTAATACTGTAAAGAAGAACTCTTTTTTTTTCCCCCTAGGGGAGAGCTCTTTTTGTTGCTGGACAATGAAATACTAATTTGAATTACTGAAATTGTTAACTAGGCTCAATACAGTTTTTTTCCATAAATCTTGCTTTTCTATAGATTAATTTCTTTTGGAAAATATGTATATAAATTACATTCTTTTGTTCTGTGCTGATGGAAATTATTAAATGTGTTTTTATATCAACCTTTTTTTTCAGCTTGGAAGTGTTAAGAATTGTTACAGATACATGGATTCATTGCAGTTCAGCTTTAGTTACGTTTAAATAAATTTTAAAATAACATAACTTTTTTCCTTTTTATAAACAGGCTGTTGGAATTTCCCAACCATCGAAGTATTTTCACCAGAACATACCTTCCAGGATCAACTAAAACAAAAGATTCCAAATTCAGATCTTCAGATTTTGGTGACAATATGAAGATGGAGCATAGAATGAAAAATGACTGTTCAAAAGATGCATACCACAGTTACTCATCTCATAACATGGACAGTGGGAAGTCTGGCTCTGAAAAAAGGAACACTCCAGTTTTGCTGAAGTACCCTCCTGAAGAGCTCTGCAGTGATGGTACTCACACATGTGCACCAAGCTATGACCATAGCTCCAACAAGGATAACAGAAAGGAAAGAAAAGAAACTAAAAGTAATGAGCAGCACAGCAGGGGGAATGTCAGCAAATACAAAAGAGAAGTACATCAGAGCACTGGAAATGATGGTGACGGTGAGGAGGGGAACTTGGATCCTCAACAGAAGCTGAAAACCCTTTCAGAGAAGGCTAGTAAAAATGAGTTGCAACAAAAAAATCAGAGCATGAAACTCAAATGCAGTCCAAATGTAGAAAGAAGAGTAGAAAGGGGTGTTTCTTCCTGGGAGAAACAGACAGCTGGTAAAGACAGATTTCAAACAAGAGGTGAATTGTATGGTGATGAGAGATTACAAAATGTATTAAAAAAGGACATTAAAACACACGATAAAGGTGAAAAACATGCTGGCCAAAAAAATAAACCAAATGAGAAGCTGCAAGAGCAACCAAGGAGGCCTGGTAGGGGAAGTAGTCCACACTCCAAGAATGAGCATTCAAAGAGTCTTCATGAGTCACGTAAATGTCGTGTGGAAGAGTCTAGAAAAGTGAAGCACATTGACTGCAAGAGAGACAGGGGAACAGATGATCATACCTCTCGAGAAGGAAGGACTTCACCTTCTAATTCCAACAGCAGAGAGCATAAACATGCACGCTTGAAGGAAAGCAGTAGTAGACATGAATGGGAAACAGCACATTCCAAATCAGAAAGACACAGAACTGAAGAAAAAAGGAAAAGGGAAAGAGAGGATCAGGATGAAAATAGACATTTTAGAAATGAAAAAAAGGTTGCAAAAGAATTTTCTCATCAATCTGTAAAAGACTCCAAGAAAGGGACACATGTTACAAAAAGTAAGAGAAACAAATCCTGTAAGCCAGAAGAAACATCCAGAGTAGCAGATAGCTTAAAAGATAAGGTACCCAAAACTAAAGGTAATCGCACTGGGCCAAAAAGCAAAGACTTAAAACTTAGCTTTATGGAAAAGCTAAATTTAACTCTTTCTCCTAATAAGAAACAATGTCTTTCTGCAATGGATAGACTTAAAAAGCCTTCCCAAAAGGCCACTGATGAGGGAGGTACAGAGCTCGCACTGCAAGCAGAACTCTTAGATTCTGCCCACCCTGTAGACTGTGGTCCCACAGAGCACAGTCATTCAATACTACAAGTTCTGGACACTGCAGCTCAGGGTAACATGGAACCAGCACTGCCTGTTTCTGTCAGTTCTGAAAATGGAGCCTTGAAAGTGGCAGCAGCAGATCCAGCACAGCCTGAAGCATTGCCAGCAGTCACAGCTGATGAACCAAGCTCAGAAACCTTAGCAGAAGCAGAAGGGGGTCAGGTACAGCCCCAAGCCTTGCCAGAAGCAGCAGAGGTTCCTGATGAGATGGAGGCTGAAACGCTATCAGAAGTGGCAGAGACTTGTGATCCGGTTGAATTGGAAGACTCAGTAAAAACAGCAGCAATGACAGGTCTGAACCACCCTGAATCTTTGACTCTGGAGGTGACAGGCAGTGTGGCAGAGTGTGAAGAGCTGCCTGTGATAGAGGGTGAGATGCAGGGTGATTATGTACCAGCAGCAGAAGTGGCACAACCTGAACGTGCACGTGCAAGTATGGAAGACATTCCAGAGTCAGCAGCAGAGAAGAAAGAGGAAGATAAAATATGGCTGGCTGCTGACACAGAAAGCTCTGCAGATCAGTGTGGCTCTCAAAATGTTGTCTTAGATGACTCGGAAACCGGAAGTTCTGATGACCTGAAGTCCTCTGATGCTGCAGATGATATCAGTGAAACAAAATCAGACTCTTTAATGGAAGTTGTTAAGGATGATGATCACCTGGCTGCAAAAAATATTGGCCATCCCACTGAGGAAAAGAATACCTGTGAAGTGAATACAAGTACATCTTGTTCACTGGACAGAACTAAGATAAGTGATAAGGATGAACCATTAGTTGACCAGAATACTTGTGATCTGGGACCAGACCTGACTGATAACAGTACTGCAACAGCATCTTCTCTCAGTGGCGAGATGTGTCCTGTAACTAAAGAGAGAGAAACTAACCCAGTTTCTGTGGATGATGACAGCTCAATACTGAGCATTGATCTCAATCACTTGAGGTATATTCCAAAGGCAATCAGCCCACTGACCAGTCCAGTGCGTCCTTCGGCGAAAGCATTGAAGATGGAAAGTCCCTGTAAAGGCCTTGTGAAGACTTACAACAAGGGTATGTGTATATTTATATTCTAATTTATTTTCTACATGAAACTTAGAAAGATCCACTAATGGAAAGCAGAAATTACTCCTTTTAACTGCTTTCAGAAAAATACAAATTGTGTCTTCTTAAGCTGTGTACGTCTCAATGGTCCTTTTTGTTAGTAGTGGAAGCATTTCATGTTGCAGCCAAGATTCTACCCATTTGAATATTAGTGCTCTAAAAATTGGAGTTGGTACGTACTGACAGAAGACTGGTTAAAATAAGAGTTTTATATTAACTTACTAAAAAAATACACATTTCTTAATTGTGGCTAGTTTTGCCTAGATCTCTTCAGGTTTGTCCCTGAAATTTTAGAAGGTAAAGTTATGTAGGATCATATTCTTTCAAGTATTTGTGAATTTAAGTCTTCCTTGTAATGTCCTGCTGCAACTAAAACAAACAAAAATTCTTAGAAGTTTAGATTTCGTACTAGAAAACATTGAAACCTGTTTTTTTATGTTTCAGAGTGGAACTGTACAGGATTATTAAAACATTAATGGGTAATTTGTTCTCAATTTGTTTTAGTTTTGAAATTGTTGAAAGAAAAGCCACCTGTTGTATGTAAATGTTAGTTCAAAATGATGTGACACTTACAATTTAACTGGTACAGCAGTTAGAAAACTTAAAGCAAATGGAAAAACTCAAAGCTTACGAAAACTGCTATATCTTTCTCTTTCCAATTGATATGTATTTGTGAGATAGTTCACGTGTTTGGTGAAATGTTGAGGCCCCTTAAAGCTCCAAATTTGCTCAAAAGAAAGCTCAGTGTGCCTTTTAAAGCTCAAAGAAATATATTAAACTAGCAGCTGTGGAAGCAAACCACCCAAACTTATTACAGCTCAGGCTTTCCAAGTTCAAACAGTTCTGAATAATCAGTTTACAGAAGAGAATCTTGCAGGTTTTTCTGAAAATACCTGTTTAAAATTGCATTCCTAAGGTGATTAGCAAACTGTTTTCTTTTTATAGATTTGATTCCTGAAAGTACTGTTGTCATCTGTCCTTCAAAGAACTTGTCAAAGGAGGTAAACAAAGAAAATCAAAAGCCAGTTAGCATGTCTGATGAACACTTAGAGATCGAGTCTCGGCTAAGTATCTCTTCAGATGAAATAGAAGAAGGTGAAATCTTAAGTAGCGATGAAGAAAAAGAAAAATCTAAACCAGAGAGAGGCTCTGAAAATACAAAAATGTCAAGACCAAAAGCTTCTTCTGAGACACGAAATTTGACCAGCAGCCCGCAGAATCAAAATAGCAAAACTGTGCACAGCAATGAAGATAATGGAAAATTTGTTTCTGCGCAAGTAAGTGCACAAAAGAACAGAGAGAGGCATAAAAATCAGACCTTCAGGTCTTCAAAGAATATAAGGAAAAAGAAAACTGTGAGCATTGCTTGTCTTGAAAAAATAGTTCATGTTATTGTTGAACCTTCAAATATACATGAAATCATGCAGATGCTCAGAGCTATACGAAAACAGATGAGGAAAAGTTACATGAAGTTCAAAGTACACTTTCCAGTTCAGCATTTTCACAGAATTATAGAATCTGGCATCATAAATTTTACAGCATTAATAAGATACTTGAACTTTTCCAAGATGTGTGCATTGGGTGATACATTAAAACTTAATATATGTGATATTATAGAGTCAAAACTTAAGCAAGTTAAAAAAAATGCAATAGTGGACCGTCTTTTTGACCAGCAAGTATCAGATATGAAAAAACAGTTGTGGAAATTTGTAGATGAACAGCTTGATTACTTATTTGAAAAGATAAAGAGAATTATAATAAAGCTATGTGATGTGGGAAATGAGGCTGAGGAAGGGAAATTTGAAACAGCCGGAAAGCAAAACCACAAGATCAGTAATAAAAATGATGTCCAGAGATCTAGAAAAAAGTCCCTGAAAGATGGTTCTGAAAAGCCTGAAGAATATACTTCAAAGCAAACTGTGGATTATCAACAATCTAAATGTCACCATGAGAAAAATAAGACAGGTACACCAAAAACTGCCTTTACAAAATGTCTTAATTCCATTGATAACACAAGAAATTCCCAACCAAAAGTTCACCTCTCTAAAGAGAATAATTTACAAAACACTCTTACTCCACTGAAGGGTGTTAAATATGACAAGGAAGGACTCCAGCAGTCCAGAGATGCTAACAAGTCTGATCTTAGTTACGAGCTTCTCACAGAACAGCAAGCATCCAGTCTTACATTTAATCTGGTAAGTGATGCTCAAATGGGTGAAATTTTCAAAAGCTTACTGCAAGGTTCTGATCTCTTGGAAAAAAATGGTGGCACTATCAACAGAAATGAGTGTGAATTCAGGACTCCAGAAAAGCAGTTCTTAGACAATCATAAATGCAGGGATAATGCTGCTGAATTGGAGCAAGACATCACTCCAAAGGAGACATGTATGGATTGTAAACTGGAAGAGGATATTAGTTGGACTATTGTTTCACCTGTAAGAGCTCCCTCATTAACATCTAGGTCTCAGATGCCTGTTGATCCAGATGTGCTGGATGAGAGCTGTATGTTCGAGGTTTCCACAAACTCAGCTTCATGCAAAGAAGATGAACTCAATTTACAGAAGAATAAATCATGTGTTTCTTCTATCCTCCTTGAAGATTTGGCTGTTTCCTTAACAATTCCATCACCTTTGAAATCAGATGCTCACCTCAGCTTCCTAAAACCTGAGAATAATTCTAGCTCAGCTCCGGAGGGTGTTGTTAGTGCACATTTCAGCGAAGATGCACTTCTTGGAGAGGAGGATGCCACTGAACAGGACATTCATTTGGCTTTAGAATCTGATAACTCAAGCAGTAAATCAAGTTGTTCATCATCGTGGACAAGTCGGCCTGTTGCTCCTGGTTTTCAGTGTCGCCCCAGCCTACCAATGCAAGCAGTGATCATGGAGAAATCCAATGATCATTTTATTGTAAAGATTCGGCGGGCAGTGCCATCTGCCTCACCAGCATCTGATCAGACGGCTCCAGTGAAGGAGGCACAGGCATCCTCAGCCAAGATTGGAAAAGGAGAAATGAGAACTGGGGGAAAAGAAGAGGACAGCCAGAGTGCCACCATGAAAGAAACAGTCAAACCAGATCTGGTTAAGATGGATCACTTGCCTCATGTCAGCACTGAACAAGAACAAAACCCTACCTTTGCTCAGCCTCTGAAGGAGTCACACAATAGTATTGGAAAGGAAGAAACTACTGGCTTGCTTGTAACCTGTAGAAAATCTCCAGACAAAGAGAGCCACGACACTGAAAGCCCAGATAAAGGCCCTGAGCAATCTGAGGCACAGAAATTGCAAGTATCTGAAAACATAAATGAAATGCATATTAGATCTCAAGCTTCTTTTCCTGCTGGATGCAGTATGAAGTCATGCATAACAGATGGTATTGTTAGTGGAACTTCATGTCATGCAATGGAATCCAGAGCAGATAATGGGACTCGGGAAACTTCAACAGGAAACTCAGAAGTCAGTGATAAAAAGGAAGAACTGGAAAAGTGCTTTGATGCATCTATAGACCTAACAGAAGAGCATTCTAATGAGAGTGTAGCAGCTGAATGTGATCTTGAAACAAAACCCAGTTCAAAGACTAATGGAGGGTGTCAGATAAGTATAGATGATAAAACTAATAAAAAGAGGAAAAAAGAGACTGTGAAAGAGAATTCCAATTCAAAAAGGCAACGAAAAGGAACTGAATCGGCAGGTGAGAGGAGTGATGAAAGTAATATCAGGTCTGAAGATAGAAAGTCATCCCCTAAGGAATGTTCCAGTAAGAAGAATGAGCTACAGCAGAATAAAGACCCTTCTCCCTTGGCTTCGTCTCAGTCGTCACCTAGCCTCTATGCCAAAAACATCATTAAAAAGAAGGGAGAAGTAGTAGTTTCCTGGACAAGGTAATTTCTGATTTGATCTGCTTGATTGCTTTAGGGTTTTTTAAAACTATGTGAAACACTGAAGAGAGGGAAGAAAAGGGTATTTAGCTAATGACTGAAGTTACTTGGTAGCTCTACATCCTTCTCTAAAAAGGGGAATGGGAGCCTCCTTTTATCAGTGCAGGATTGCTGTGCGGGATTGATGTCCATTGCTTTTCCACATCTCCCAAAGCAAGAGTCCTCTTGGCTTTTCTTTTGAAAGCTTATGTGCCGAGGTAACAACACCTACTGTAGTGGGCTGTATGTTTTTATTATTTCCTTTGCCCGGTTTATTTTTTCTATCCAAAAATTCCAGCCAGGCTTGGTAGGGGATGGAGATCCTTGATGTTCCTACAAGGCCTTGGTGACTGGTGAAGAGCAGCTAAAGGTTTCCCTCTCTGAGGGAAGGAATGGCAGGAAGCAGTTTCCAGTTTTTGGGTCTGAGCTGCTCAATCTTGGAAATGTACCAGTCAACCATTCAACTCAATATATTCCAATTTGTAGGATGTGGGTGACAAATGAAATGGCTGTATGTGTCAGTAATACATGCAAAATTATTGTTCTATATTCTTATTTTTAAGAATAGTTGGCAGATTTTGCTGTTTTTGCTATAATTGATGCAATCAACACTTTCTAAAGGGACTTCTTAAATTTTCAGGACAGACTTTTCTAAACCGTAGTTCAGATATAAAGTAAGTTTCTAGGTAACATTTTAAAAGAAAATCGGTTCCTTCAGGGAAAAAAGGCAGCTGAAGCTAATGTGATTTTTTTAATGTGCAAACCAGCAAGGCAGAAAAAGACTTACAGTTTTCTGTAAAAATACAACTTTATTTGAGAGAAGTCAAGCACCTCTCTGGTTTATCTTTGAACATCAGCCTTAGGTGAAAGCCGCTGTTCAGCCATGTAAACTGAGGCTGGAACTACTGACTGCTGTTGAATTTGAGTTCCTTTCAGTTCAAATTTAAATATCTGGTTTAGAAGCTTCAAACTCTTTGACTTTGGTTTGGAGCTAGCTCTATTCTAACAATCCTGCTCTTCCTAGCAGGGGAACATAATCTCCACTACCACTTGTTTCTACTGACTATTATTCTGTACTGGTAGAGGAAAGGATCCTCCACAAACTTTTTGCTGTTCTTTGAACTCATGTTCTGTTGTTTGGAAATACTCTGAATTTTGTATATGCCTGTATGTATTATTTTGTGTACATGTACTCAACTGTATGTATTAATTTTTTTTTAATGCGTTTTTGCTGTAGAAATGATGACCGAGAAATTCTACTGGAATGTCAGAGAAAAGGACCATCAAGCAAAACCTTTGTTTCCTTGGCCACTAGGCTGAACAAAAGCCCAAATCAGGTAGGTGATGATCATTCTTATCTGTACTACCAACAATATTCCTACATTTACAATTGCAGTTGAACAAAAATCTTTGGAGATCTTCTGCAGATGTGTAGTTTTCTTTTCCTGATGTTTTTTTTGGGGGGGATTCCTGAAAAAAAAAGAGAATCTTAGATTCTGCCAGTTGTAGCTTCTTAAAAATACAAGTAAATATAGGGGTATAATGGAGATTCCTCAGTACCTCTTTGATTGGTACATTAGAACTGCACCACTCATAATACAAGTACAACAGGATTGTTCTGTTGTTGGATCAGCACTTAGCTAAAGAAAGGCAATTTTGAGAGGCCTGAAGCCTTTACTAAATTAGAGAAAGATTCAATTTAGAGCTGAAAAACAATATAATGATTGTTCAGAAAGGACATTTTTAATGAAAGTGTTTCTTTTTTTCTTTTCACTTTTAATGTTAAAGTTTTGAAAGACACAAATACCAAATTAATGTAGAATATTCTCAGAGGTTTGCATATAACTTTATACATGAGTTAAATTGTTCTCTTAATCTGTGTCCTGCAAATCTAGAAAGGAAGAAACACATTTGACTCTATTAGGAAATCATGCATGATTGGAATTCGGCTTTTAGGATGTTGTGTATGGTTGTAGAGTTTCTGTGGGGTTTAGAAGCTGTTGGGGTGGCTGCTTGGATAAAACAATGTTATCTATGTATTTATGCCTCTCTTCCCAGTCAGTTTGGTGGATTATCAATATGCTGTAGTAATATGTATACAGCAATAAAAAGTACTAGCTTGGAGCTGAATGAGGTCACTATGTCAGCTCTAGCTATGTTCAGCAATATTTTTTTTACTCTGATCTACAGACCAATTCTGTAAAATCCCTTTCAGGCAGATTATTCCATGATGAGCGAAAAATACCTGAAGCAGCAATTGTACAAGAGGGTAGAAAATAATCAATAAATGGTGCTTTTTATGGAATACAAAATAAGCTTTTGTCTTTACATTTGCATCTTACTCATGGTTACATGTGGCAAATTCAAGGCTAATTGGCTTTGAAGCCTTCATTTTTTTCCTTTTACATTTCCTTGTACATTTCCTTGTAAGGAAATCTGTATTAAACCTGTGTTGGCTCTAGCTGTCTTTGATTAACCTGGAAGCTATTTCAAATATGAAAGATATAGGGAGACTTCTTAGATCCAGTTAATCTGTTAATGGTACTCCTAAAATTCTCCTACTAAAATTTATTGGAAATTAATAATAGTGGTCTTTAAACTGGATGTCAGATCAATCTTCTGTCTTGGTAGATGTGGAAGTTGGGGGCCTTAATGATGTGTCTCTTCTGGTTTTTTGTCTTCTATTAGGTTTCAGAAAGATTCAAGCAGTTAATGAAGCTGTTCAAGAAATCCAAGTGCAGGTAGACTCAGAAGACTCAGACCAAGTTGCTTCATGGGTACAAGGTTTAGCTGTTACCTGCAGGGATGGACTGGAGCCACTGCATTCATTTGGTGGGATTATGGGGAAGTATCCAAGTCAGAGTAATGAGTTTGGTGCATCCAGTGCACTGTTAGTTATTTACTTGTCTGGGTTTCCTCTGAACTTCTTTAACAGAGTACTGCAGAGGGAGCTTGACAAACCAAGTGGCCAGGAAAGAATGGGCTTTGACACTGCACAGGGGGCAGTATCATTTCAAGGGGGTCATCTCCTATGAGCTAAAGGTGCTCTGTGAGCAAAGGTGGGCAAGAGTGGGAGTGGTGGCTCCTGCTTCACTTGTCGCAAGTTCTGCGTGTGCTGGTGTCAAACTGTGATCTTAAAAAGGAAGAGTACTTTGGAATCCAGTTGGTAGATAATCCTGGAAAATGACAGGTAGGTCAGCTTGGTGACTGTGGAACATATTTTAAGAAGTGAGGCCATTTTCTTTTAAAATGAGGCAGGGCAATGATAGCAATGATTCCAAAAGTTGCTTATCGAGTAATTGAATTCTGTTGCTCAGGAATAGATGGATCTTGCAGCTTGTTCTTAACAAACATTTGTGACAATTGTTTACTTATTAGAGATGTAAATCTAACAGAATCTGTTTTCAGAATAGTCAGTGTGCAGGGTAGCATAAATGTTACTTTACATGAACACTACTCTGCAAAGGCCATTATGTTTTTCTGTTCCAAATTACATCTGGAAAAGGTCCTACTTCATTTAGGTCTTCAACATAATAAACGTTCTGTTTTGTTAAAAAAAAATATTGAGAAGTGATTTTCTTTTAAAAAGTAATTTAGAAACAGACCTTTACAGTTTCATAAAATGTGACTTTGTAGTTACTAACCAGAAGGAAAACTTTTGTAAAAACAGTCAGTTTTCAAAAGCTTGTCAACTTGGCATGTTTTGACAGCAATTGCATCTATCTTTACAAATTGTTTAGTACATTAGAAATTCATTATGTTCTATTTTAAAAAATCTGTTATAACTGTTTCCAGTTTTACTAGAACATACCTAAAGTGTGTGTGTGTGTGTATATATATATTTACACACACATCTCATACATACTGCTGTTTTATCCCAAATTTCTCAAAAGGTTTTTTCTTCTCTCTGAGAAACATCCCTGGAAGTTGCAAGGGGTTTTGGTTAATAAATTAATTGATTTTTGAGGTTTTATTCTCTATGGAGGATCGAAATTGCTGTAGTCTTTTTTCAGTCAGAGGATCTGCTGAGTTCAGTTAGGCTTAATTTAATAGCCCCTCACCTAAGTGCATTGCCTTTCAACTTGGATTGAATTGGCTCTTTTTCAGAGTCCAGTGACCATTTCTTCAATGTCAGCATGTTTTTTGTTCCCTCTCCAACTAAGGGGACAGACTTTTCTTTTTAATAAACCATCAGATAATTTGTCAGTGATGTTGTCACTGACCCCTTTGGAATATTGTACATGTGACCTATGGAATGGATTGTCATGCTGCCAAAAAGTGCATTTTCCTTGTTTTAGGCAGTGCTCTGGAAACTGTTACAAGGAGCAACTTGAGTGGGTGATGATGTCAGTTCTGGCAGTCTTCCATCTTTCATGCTTGCTTCTGAAATGTTTGCTTTTAATGATCAAATCTCACCTTCCATGCTACTCTGCCAGTGCCTGGTAATTTCAGTGGGGGATTGGTGACAATTGTTAATTTGTTGGAGATTTAAATCTAACTGAAACTGTTTTCAGAATAGTGAGTTTGCAGAGAAGTGTTGATGTGTGTGGAAAAATCAGACTCTCCTAAGAGTATTCTTTTAACCATATCCTTATAGATCGACATGTGCACAGTACTGAAGGCACTGAGGGAAGTCACTTCTCTCCACTTAAGTGCTTCCTTTCTGTGTCAAAAAAGGCAGGCAGTATTTTATTACAAAGTTGTTTATTCCTTATCTGTGTTTACTTATTTTCATATCTGTATAGGTGATGGGGGCAGGGTTTGACTGTTTTGAATCTGACTTGGTTTCCTTTTTTGTAAAGTGTGAAACTTGGTTAATGTTCTCTCTATTGTATCTATGTGTACAGGTTCCTATGTGGTCATGTAAAATACTGATGTTTGTATATATATAAATATATGTATAAAAATAGAGCTTTGTTTAGCCAAAGATGATTTTTCTAACTATATAAAACTACAGGTTTATTTTGTATAAACTAAATAGTTTGCTTACTGTAAGAGCAATACAAGAAATAAAACTGTAAAACTCACACACATGTTCTTGTTGAACAAAGGTTGGCTTGGAGTGGTTTTGTACCATTGTTTGTAATTTATTTCTCCAACAAGAATTTTGATACATATATGCCAAATGTACTGTATGTAATTCTACAGTCTTCTTTGTGAAACCTCAGGTAAATCAAAATATTTTTTAGAACTGTTGGTTAATGGCTTGACAACTACACATGATGTGAAGCAGCATTAAAATTTACTTCTCTTAGTTTGTATAAGTGAGTAACTATGTTGATGTTCTGGCCAATAAACATGGAAGTTGTCGGCTGTTTTAATTACTGCTCTGAGTGCATACTGCTTATTTCTTAGTGAATGTGACTGGAAACTGGAGAGTTTAATGAACTGCATAAAACCCTTAAGCCACTTATGAAAGAGGAACTACAACCTTAATCTTTTTTTTTTTTTTTTTTTTTGAAACATTGGGTTAGTGTTGAGTGGAATATTACAAAGGAGAAAGACTTTTTCGTATCCAAGACCTTTCACTGGAAGAGTCTAGCTGGTGGCCCTATGAGACCCGTACTCCAACTTGCTACTGAAGAATAGGTCTACTTCTATCCAGCACACATATTTTTCTTCTATCCAACACACATTTTTACAGGATTCTGTTTATTGGATGTAAGTATTCAAAAATTTTCCAGAGTTTTAATTCAGAGAGTGGGGTTCATGGAGATGTGCATGATAGTGAAATCATTGGGCATTGAATTTTGAGGGATTCTCTCTAAGGCAGTCTGTTGCCAGCTAAAAGTGTACATACAATAGTTGTCATAACTCAGGATACTTCCCTTAGATATCAAGCCAGCAACACATAGCTATTCCCATTAAGACTTTTCTCTAATTGTATTCACTCTAAAACTAGATGCAGAATAATCTTTAGCAATGTCTTTGTGAAGGGAGGCAGCAGTAATAAAGTATGTTGAAGAACTGTCCTAAGGATTTCTTAGAAGAATCTATGAAATCAGTCGAGGCATTTCAGGAGCAGAATTGGCTTTGCTAGGAAAGATGGATAAAGTGGCTGGCTGGTTCCTGTGAAAGGCAACTTGCTCCAGAAGGAGCAAGTTAGTAGCAGTAATAATGGTAATACTTGTCTGTAGTAAAATGGAAAAATGTGTTCAAGTGAAGTGACTTTTTTAATAAGCCAAGGTGTTTCTAGACAGTGAATATACCTGTAGCACGGTAGCAATATAGGCTAAAGCTAAAATTCCGTCGACTCATCTTTGCATTTCATAATGCCCATACTTGAATTGCTTTGAATAATGGGCATTTCATAATGCCCATACTTGAATTGCTCCAGCCTGTTGTCCAGCTCACTGTTCACATCCAATTTGTGATGGGTTTGGTGAGACAGCAGAAAGCGTGTGCACTTGGAAGTAATTCTGACCCTGTACTGTTAGCTTTGTTGTGATGTCAGAATTGTAAAGTATTAGTACAAGGAATTATTGCTGTCTATGTTACAAGAAGATTACTTTTAGTTCCCACGTACACCTTTTTCTGTTTTTCAAATGTGTGAGTTCCTGACAAGAACAAAACCTGCAATGCTATAAAAAGTGTATTTGGGCGTAATACTAGAAGAACTTCCTTTGTACTACCCTCCTTTGGATGCTCTCTCCTATAGCTGAATGTCTCTTACACTGTGGCCCCCCAAACTGCCCCCAGCACTGGAGCTGAGGCTGCCCCAGCTCAGGGCAGAGCAGGACAATCCCCTCCCTTGCCTGGCTGTGATGCTGTGCTTGATGCCCCCAGGACAGAGTTGGCCCTCCGGGCTACCAGGGCACTGCTGGCTCATGTTCAACTTGTCATTGACCAGGACCTTTTCTGTGGCTCCGCTTTCCAGCCTGTTATTCCCCAGTCTGTGTGTACATCCACGGTCACCGCATCCCACGTGCAGAATCCTGCTGTCACAAGACAGAGTAAATGCCCCATACTGGATTTGGGTACTGAGGTTTATTGAATAACCACCAGGACCAGACCCTTCACTCTCCTTGGTTGTGGTCAGCTCCTGCCCCAGCACTATGTTCCTTGGGTTTCTGCTTCCCAGCAGGGCGGTCACTCCTGCTCCAGGAAGGTCAGGCATGAAGATACACTGAGATACACTGGTTCCCACTGTGCTGCTTCTCACTGGAATAGTTGCCTATTCCAGTCACCACTGGCCAAGGTCCCATCTCTCTCGTTTGCAGGATATATTCCCTCCCACCACATCCACACACAGCCTTCTGTCATTCACACTGTAAGCTGATTCCATCTGTGGCAGATGCTTGTAGCAAGGGAGTGTCCTGAGGCAACACAGTTTCTTGCTTCTCTCCAAGTGCAAACATCACCACGTCTGTGCCCTCTCTCTGCTTCCCTTTCATGCATTAATTATATAGTCCAATAAAAACCTTGTATGAGCGGTTCTTTAACAACACAAATAGTTCTGCTAAAGCAGAAATGCAAAAAATTGTCCTTGAACAGCCTGCTGTCACCTGCCCTGTCCCCTGAGAAAACCAAAACCTTAAACCAGGTTGCTCTGAGGGCAGAATGAAGTAGGCAGGCAGCCTGTGGTTCTGGACCTGCCAAGGGGCAGGTGGGATGGGACAGACAAGTGCTGGCCCAGAATGAGCTGCTTCTGCAATGAACAGCAGAGCTCATTCTCTGACACGATGGATACATCATAGGTGCTGCAGCTCTTGCTCTTTTCTCAAGTTTTCACAGCCAGCAGAGGTGAAGAGGGTGCTCCTGAAAAATACCTGGGCACTGTGGCAGCTGCTGGAGAATGTCAGGTCAGCAACATCTGATGAGGCAGCACAGAGGACCCAGGCCTGAGTGGAAGGTCTGAGACAGCTGAAGCAGCAAGGAAAAGCTTTAGGGACTTGATGACCAGATTTGGAAAGAAGAGATGTGAAAATAAAATGGCAATAACAGGTATGTGAGAGTATACAGAAGAGAAAGGCCTGCGGAGGCCTGGGTGGTTTGGATGAATATTAATGCATCTCTCAGAGGTGAAAATTGTAATCCTACTGCCCCTAAAGCATTTGTTTGTAGTGTGTGCATAAACCATACATCTGCTGTGTTAGACTGAGGCTAGAGGAAAGGTGCTGCAGCCACCTCATCTCCTGCAGGGCAGGATTCTGAAGGCATATTCAAACAGGGCTTTCAGGGAAATGTGTACATCTTGTGTGAGAGAGAAGGATGCAGTTGTACATAAATCAGAGATCATTTCAAAGAAGGGGTGAGGCTACTGTCATTTGAGAACTGGCCACTGGTTAGGAGGAGTATCATCAGGGAGAAGAGTCTGAAATAGAAATCATACATGTGCCTTATAAAATGGAATAAAAGGGCCAAAAGTTCCACAAAAAGTGAGGAAAAAATGAGTATTTGCAATTTCCATCAAATTTAGGCCTAGGCCTGGGCAGGAGTAGGCAGTAGAACGTCTTAGTATCAGCAATTCTGTTCTAGTGGCTCCAATCTCTCACAAAATACCATTTTGACAACTTGCCTTCCTTTTTTAAACCTTGTCTTTCACTGATACCAGTTCTGAATGGGCTTGAGGGTGGCTTCTCAACCCGTCTGATGAAGGGTTACTGTGCTGAGAGCCTGAGTTTCTAACTTAAGAGTCAAGTCTTACTTCCTGTGGCCTCCATTTTCAAAGGCTCAGTCTAACACATCCTAAATTAACTCACCAGGCAACAGAGTATGAAATCGGACATGACCGATCGACCCTCGAGTATTGATTCAAAGCAGAACTAATGGAATGTAAAGAAAATGTAAGACTCTATTGTAGTGTAAAGGCTGCCTATTTAGCCATTTTACAAAATAAAACTTCATTTTGGAGCTGGGTGGAGGTGTAAAGTTTGAAGAACTGGCTAAAACAACGCGTAGGGACTTTACAAACTGCTGCCGTACAGATTAAGCCTTGGGGGAATGGCTGTGTTAGATGCCACTGACTAAAATAATTGCATGATAATTTTGGCTAGAGGCACCATCCTATCATCTGATGATTTTTAAACCGTGCATGAATAGTTTAGACAGAGCAATCTTGGCATCCAGCTACACAGAACTGAGAAGCCCGTGCAGTGTACCACATCTATGCTTTGGCTCTTGGGGAAAAGAAAAAAGTGAAAAAAAAAGATGTCCTAGGACTGTGGAAGAGAGGTCTCTGAGGAATAGCAACAAGCTTTTCTGCATGCTCCTTCTGCAATGCTCTAAGAGACTAACCAAGGGCATTCTCCTAAGGTAAGTAGCAGAAAAATAATTCTTCCTAGGGCAGGTGCCTGTCAGACTTGAAGCAATACAAATTAAATCCATTAGTATTTACATCTAAACATTTAACTTCTGACAAGAAATTTAAAGTTAATGCTGTTTTTTCATACCTCAACTGATGAACTGGCATGAATGTAACATGGAAGTGATTTGAATAGTGGCAAATGACAAGATGATTTTTAAAGAAGTAACAAAATAAATTAAAAAAAGGACCTTCCTCCAAGAGAAATGGTGGATTTCCATCTGGTTCTAACTGATTACATGCATGAATTTTAATTGTTTGAAATAACCATATAAAAATACTTGGGCAGACACAAAGTTGGATGGTATAATGAGAAATGTCTCAGGTATGCACTTTCTATACTAACAATGGTATATTTCTAGTCTACAATGCTAGTAGTATAGAATAGGCTGTACTACTAGAATTTCTAGTCTACTAGTAAACTGGAAATAATAATATCATTGATATTTAAGATTACTGTCAGAGTAAACTGAAATTACTCTGTTACACAGAACTCAAAACCAGGGAAAGAGGAAAATGGAAAAATTAGAGGCATGTTGCTATGACAAGGTTGTGAAGTAGTTTGGGCAGATTTCTTAGAAACGCTGGCTTTTGTGGCTCTAAAGTAACTTCTGTATTTTATACACAGTATTTACTGTGTGATTATTTATACTGCAGTTCCACTAGTGCAGAACTGAGGGGAAGTGTCCTGGTATCAAGGGCTCAATTAAAGGGTGAATTATACCATCCCTACAATTACATTGCTTTCCTCTGGTGGCTTTTACAATGCGAAGGTGAGGATAGAGTTATTTAAACACTGGTAGAAGCAACTTAAGAAACAAAACTCTGTAGAGCCAGAGTGATATCTTTATACAGCTCCCTTGCTCAGGATAGTTACATCTGCTTTCTGTTCCAAAACCGACAATGACAATTTCTACTGCTGGAGAATTTAATCTTTGGGATTAAAACATATATATTCCTGAATTTACATTGTAACATCACACTTGGGGTTTTGTAATTTGGTTGGGGTTTTTTTGCTGAGTCAATTAATTTCAGTGAGGGATCACCCATTTGCAATGCAGTGAATATACCTAAAGCTCCTTTGCTTAACTGTTGCATTGGACTACAATAATTATTGCTGACTTTATGTTTTCCTCATGTGTCTCATTGCAGTGATATGCGTGGGAGGGAGGGAAGGGGAAACAAGGTATTCTGGGTGCATAACACCAACTAAGAGATTGCTTGACTAGATATGTTTCCTTAGCCAGTTCCATGTGTGAAAAATCAAATTTGCAGACAAAAAACAGTCCCAGAAACATAATAATAAAGTCTGTAGGATGCCTATGCTGAGAATTACTTCACTGCTGGTTACAACTGAAAGTTTTGATTTGCAGTGTGGATAAATACAGCCTTGAAGCAAAACTGAACTACCTGGGATTATGTCATGAACCAAGCCATATTAATAATGGTGATATCACCCATCTATGCAATCATTTAAATATATACAGGTTTTTGGGCACATCAACCAACCACTTTGAAAAAATAAAGTTTAGAAATTGCACTGTAGTAAAGGTTGTGGTTTAGTGGAATTTGGGATGTTTTGAAAATATTGTAGCATAAAAATTTCAAGTGCAAACCCTAAGGTAGATATGGTCCCAGCTGCTTTCAATAATTTATTGCTGTATTAGTAGAAAAAGTTCCAGGGACCCACACCAAACATGTAGTTGATTCACAAATAAACAATCTTACATTTCAATTCCCCACAGTACCAGAAGCTCCAAAATAAAGCTTCAAAAGAAGCAGCTTGTAAATCATAGACCAATTTGTTTGTGAATCAGACAGTTTCTGGGATAGAAGTAGTTAAAAATGTTTTCACACACTCACTGTTTAAAACCTCCACATCGCTCTGATTTCATTATATGCTAAAATTTACAATTAAGATGCAATAAAACTTGATGCATAAAGATATCAACTCTAGGAGTACTCAGTTTATTGATATTGTCCTATAACTGAGACTGCAAATGTACTGCTATGTGTAAATCAGCTACTTATTTGTAGTTTTAGGAAGCCAAGAGAGAAACCTGTAAATTGCTACCCAGGTAGGTGGGAAAATATTGGATGGATGGCACTAAAATTGCTACTACCTTGGGGTAAAAAATAAATTTCTATTTTAAAGTCACAGTTATAGGACACTTCTCAAAACTTTATTCAACAAATTAAAGCCAAGAACTTTATCTGTTATGGAAAAACTATGGCAAATCCACAATCAATGTGGAATGGACTGGGTGTAGAATTAAACTGTAGTTGGCAAAGGATTTGCCAGGTGGGAAAAAAGTTGTCTTCCTTTCTAGTGGGAAAAAAATAATATAAAACTATGGGCAGTTATGAAGTACTGTGGTTAACAGCTGAAATCAATCTCTCTTGATCTTAAAATAATCTCACATTTGCATATTTGACCAGTAATCATGAGATTTGAATTCATTTAAAGACCTAGTAAGCAGAAAATAATTATGAACTTCTAAGAGCTCTCCAGCTACCAAAAAATTTATCTGAAACACATTTATTGAAATTTAAAGAAAACAACAAAACAAAACAAAACACATTCGAATAACAACAGAGCTAAAAATGGTCATTTCCCAAAGAAACCCATCATGGAAAATAACTTTTTTTTCCCCCAGAAATGAACTTCTGACCATGGGGGACTGGAACTTGTTGGGCAGCATCCTTGAAGAAGTGCACATCCACTCCACCATAGTAGGCAAAATCTGGCTCACAATCCTGTTCATATTCCGGATGCTGGTTCTGGGAGTGGCTGCTGAAGATGTCTGGGATGATGAGCAGTCCGAGTTCATCTGCAACACAGAGCAACCTGGCTGCAACAATATCTGTTACGACAAAGCCTTCCCCATCTCTTTGATCAGATACTGGGTGCTGCAGATCATATTTGTCTCCTCCCCATCCTTAGTGTACATGGGCCACGCGCTCTACAGGCTAAGGGCGCTGGAGAAAGAGCGGCAGAACAGGAAAGCCCAGCTGCGGGCTCAGCTCGAGGACCTGGAGCCCATGCTCGAGGAGCACAGGAGGGCGGAGAGAGAACTGCGTAAGCTGGAGGAACAGAAGAAAGTGCATAAGGCACCCCTGAGAGGGTCCCTGCTGCGCACCTATGTCCTACATATCCTGACCCGGTCGGTGGTCGAAGTGGGCTTTATAATAGGTCAGTATCTTTTATACGGGTTTCACATGTCTCCCCTTTACAAATGCACTCGGCCCCCTTGCCCTAACACGGTGGATTGTTTTGTGTCCCGACCCACAGAGAAGACCATCTTTATGGTTTTCATGAACAGCATCGCCGCCGTCTCCCTCTTCCTCAACATCCTCGAAATCGCCCACCTGGGCATCAAGAAGATCCAGAAGAGCCTGTGCGGGCAGCCGCAGTGGCCGGCGGGCCCCTCGGAGGAGGACCCCAGCCTGTACAACTCCAAGAAGAGCTCGGTGGTGCCTCCGCCGCCCTGCCTGGCCAGCAACGCGTCCCCGCCGCGCCCCGTGCCCGCTCCTCTCCCTCCGCCGCCGCCGCCCGCCCCCTCCGCCCCCGCGGCCCCGCCGGCCCGGCAGCACCGCGGGCAGCTCCGGGGCACGCCGCCGCCGCGCCGCCGGCACCACGGACAGCACCAGCCGCCCTCGTCCAGCAGCGAGGAGGCGCCGCGGGCAGCCCCGGCGGGCGGCGGGGACGGGGTGGCGGGGGCGGCCGCCTCCCGCAGGGCGCCCCGCAGGCACAGCCGGGCCAGCGCCTGCAGGGACCTGGACGAGGAGCGCGGCGACTCCCCGGACAGCGGGCACTGCCCGGGCACTCGCAAGTCCAGCTTCCTCTCCCGCGTCCTCACCGGGAGCCGGGCGGGCAGCGACAGCGAGAGCACCGCGTCCCGCGGCGGCTCCGGGCACGGCCTGGGCTCCGGCTCCGGCTCCGGCTCGGAGGGGAAGCGCCGTGAGGAGAGCGCGCCCAGCCCGCCGCCCGCCGCCTCGGGACGCCGCGTGTCCATGGCAAGTAGCGCCCGGGACGGCCCTTGGGAGGGGGGCGGCGTGGGGCCCCGGCAGCCACTGCCGGCCCTGGGGAGGAGGGGGCGAGCCAGGGGACAGAGCGGCTCGGGCAGCGCTGCCAGCACCGCCCCAGCGCCCCGCGGCCTCCCGGACACAGCCCAGATCCCCAACGCTCGGCCTCCCTCTGCGGTGAAAGCAGCAACGCCAGGGAATTACTGAGTCCCCAGGAGCTCTAAGTCATCGGATCTCAGCTGCTTTATACTCATCCCATCATCCAATCAACTCGACGAGGATTGTCCCAGGGAAAATTTCTTCAGCTCCAGCCACTGTAAGAAAGAGAAGCCTTGAACACATTGAGTTCAATGACACAACTTCTCTCAGTTTCAGGTTTGTCCCACAGGTGACCTCCAAGCCGAATAATTGTTCAATTGATAAATCAAAAGATCTACATGTAAAAAACCCCACCAAATAATTGCAATGCCAGAGCCAATGACTACAGAATTGCTTTTTCAGCAGCTCTTCCTTTACTTTTGCTCTAGGCTCTAGGCTTGCTTACAGTCATAATGTTGATAAGATATAGTGCTTGCATTCAAGAATCAACAAGGCTTTCTTAAAAGTGTTTTGAATTCTGGTTGCCTCAGATCACAGGTTTTGTTCTTGGAGAGCATAGAGGCTCCTTTACAATCGCTTGCAGTAGCAAGGCCATAAATACCTTTTTATAGGGCATGTAATAAACAAGATTACTTCACACAATGCTCAAAGTCAGAGATTCTGTTCAATTGTTTTCCTCACTCTTCGTAAGCATCCCCCTCCTTTTTTCCAATGTACAAAACAAACAAAACCAACCAACTTCAAATTTTTATGGTAAGAAACACAAGGCACTGTTGCATTGCTCATCCAAAAATTGTTTGTGAGTTCCAGTTTTCATGGGGTTACAGTAAGCCAGTCAGCATAAACCATGTTAAATTCTCACTTAGGTGCAATTTAACCACTTTCCACTTCAATCTTTCTAATAGAGGGAGAGGTCCTAGAGCCTGATCTGTTGATCTGCTGGATCAGATAGAAGGCTCTTAAAAAAGTTGAAGTGCAGAAAGTTATTCAAAGCAAGACAGAATTTCAGTAGCACTCTGTTGAAAACTCATAGAAGTTGCTTGGCAGGTTTTCCTATGAAATGACAATGATTCTACCTCCCAGGGAAGATCTTCAGAGAAATATAGTCAGTTTACAAAACAATGTCATTACTCTTGAAAGTAACACTCTTCCAGCATGCTGTCTTTGGAGATCATTATGTACAGGACTTGTGCTAGCAGTTTAAAATGTGACTGGTGTAGGTATGCTACCTGGTGCTTCCTGCTTACAGCATGCAGTATTTAAAAGTACATGTACTTCTTAATACAGCTGAGGCAAGGTTTAGGCAAATGCACTTTATTCTGGCAACAATTTATGAATACTGATTTCAATACACAAATACGCTGGTGCGTCACAAATATGTTGAACCCGGGCATTAAAACTTGAATACTCTTCCAGTCTGTATTCCTCAATTCCTATATTAACTGTTTAATTTGGTCAAAGGCACTCAGCATTGGTTTGTTTTGTTTTAACTTGATTGCCAGAAGACAATAATCATGCATTAATTATAGAATCATAGAATGATTTGGGCTGGAAGGGATCTTTAAGATCATCTAGTTCCAACCCTCATCCTGGCAAGAGACACCTTCTACCAGACCAGGTTGCCCAAAGCCCCATCAAGCCTGGCCTTGAACACTTCCAGGGTTTGGGTGTTCACAACTTTCTGGGCAACCGGTTCCAGTGCCTCACCACCCTCACAGTAAAGAATTTCTTCCTACTAAACCTACTGTCTTTCAGTTTAAAGCCATTCCCCCCTGTCCTATACTACATGCCCTTGTTAACAGTCCTTCTCCAGCTTTCTTGTAGACTCCCTTTTACTTACTGCAAGGCCACTATCAGGTCACCTTAGAGCCTTCTCCAGGCTGAACAACCCCAATTCTCCCAGCCTTTCCTCATAGGAGAGGTAATGTTTAGATAAAACTGTGTGTGATTAGATTCAAAATATATTAATTTCTTTTTTAAAATAAGTACTTGAAAGTAATTATATTTTAAAAATTCCAAATGAAGCATACAAAAACATTGCATACTGCCATCCCTGATTAACAGTGACTTGCAACAGCAATGTAGAGAAAGCACAGACACTTTTTAATATAACAGGGAATCCACATGCACAAACATACTCTAAACAGTCAAAATATAGTCTGTTCTAACCTGGATTTTACTAATCTAAACTGGGTAGCCTAAGAGCAGAGTTGATGCTGTTCTTCAATTTTCTTTGATAACTTTCCCAAACTATCATCTTTAGTTCCATACTGGTTCAAGTCTTTTCTTTTACATCCACACCATTCTGCCAGAATTTGTCTGTAGCATTCTTTGTATTAGGTTCAGTGGGAGAGGAGTATCAACTCAGCATTGAAAATATCACTTTCTACATCTCAGTAACTATTCTAGCAACCTCCAACCAAATACATACCCTGTGCTAAGACAGCAGGACAGCTGCAGCTGGCCACAAACACCATAGTTTTCTTCCTAGCTGAAAGAAAACCATGAAGTTACACAAAATTCATCCATCTGATACTCCAGGAGGGTTCAGACATGTCAACTGCACTCTGTGAGCTGTGGCATTGAAAGCACGGAGCAAGTTTAACTGTACAGTTTATGGATGCTTGACCATCAACCAGTGATGAGCTTTTTTCTGATCAGTATTATCCACACCATTTCCATGCCAAAACTGCATATCTAACAAGTAAATAATAATCATTAGAGACAAATTAATGTTTTAAAAGTTACCTCTCATTGTGTATTGCACCCTCTGGATCAAACTATGAAGACCAGGTGGTGGATTGGAAGGGTCATACAATGGGATCTTTTTCATAAATACAAAACTGCATCTCTCAAAGAGAACAGGAAGTTTATCTCTAGGACTTCCTCTTTGGAGGAAAGGTTTCTTTGGACCCTTAGGAGATAATGTATTTAATTCTTTACTGAAAGCCCCCTATGAAACAGTGCAGTAGGATATTGAATACAAAATGCAAGTTTGGCTATCAGGATTCCTCAACTTTTCCAGACTTCAGCTCAAGCCAGACCAGCTCTATATATAAAAAAGAAGAAATGTCCTTCCCATTGGTAGGATTTATACAGATCAACCATATGTGGCCACAATGCAAACCAGAAGGCTATTTAAAACTTCCTTATCTGGAATTGGTGGAGATGAAGAGCCATTTCGTCATTTCACATCCAGCTGCAGCATAAACCCCTGACAAAATATTTACATTGCAGCTGTTTAGTTTTACACTCAAACCACTCACTCTTCATGTTCTAGTCCATTACTTTCACATGACATTGTCCAAAATTAATAATTATTCAGACCAGGAAGCCAAAGTGAGAGAGACAGAAAACCTAGAAAACTTATTTTACTAAAGATCCATTGGGAAAAAATTAACTTTTTTTGAGCCACTGCTGGTCAAGCTTTAGGTTTATTAGATTCTGAAGACAGACCACCAAAACTGGAGCTTCAAGCACATAGCAAAGTGAAGGTGGAGAGTCAATGCATGACAGGAGAGTGGTTTCCAACTGATTTCATTCCACCTAAACACAGGAGCATTGCTGATTATACAGGATGAGCTAATCTCAATATAATGTAACAAAAATCTACACTGACAGGGGAATTCAGCAGCTGTGTACAGCTGAAGTCAGACTACCACAAGTCTCCAAAACCTTGGTCCTGAGAACCACAGTCAGCATGCTTTGAGGTGACAGAAAACAATTTGTTCACTGATAACTGTCTCCGAGCTAATAATTTCCAAGGCTCACTTAGAGGATACATCTTAGATAATAAACAATATTTTATCTTCTAAGAGATATTGCCGACAGACACATAGTTCTGCCCTAGGGTTTGCATCTCTCACTACATTTTAACTTTTATTTAAGTGGAGATACAGCTATGGAGCAAGAGGGCATCTTCTGCATGGTCCCAGGCTCCAGACTCCATTAGGCAAAGCAGGCCTTAAATGGCAGCTTTTCACACACAACTGAGTGAAAAGAGCTTCACTGAATTTAGTATATCCTTAATCATAGCTGACAGCCAGGAGGTGGATCCACAAAGGTGTGTAGGAATTATGTTGATGTCAATAGGACTCCGCACAATGAATGATATTATAAGAAAAAAAACCAAACTCATAATTTGCACCAGTCAGGGTCTTGACTGGTGGATAATACATGCTTAAGCCTGATAAGATTAATAGACTGATGCAGTCAAAGGTCAGTATATAAGGAATACAGATATCACTCGTGCTCTCTTGGAAACAGGCACAGCCAGGAATTACAGCTCAGAAGAGGCACATGGCTCTTGGAGCATTGCACTTAGGGGTATTGTCTCACAGCCTCTGCATGCAAGACTGTGTCAAGCCACTAGGACCATCTAATAACTCTCTTCTTACCTTGGGGACATGGAATATGGATCTGAGTACTCCAAATGAACAACTAGAGAATACAGCAGCTTTCCTTCCAAAGGCACTGTTTGCCACAATCAAGCAGTCTTCCTACTCACCCATTTCCTGCAAACCAGGGAACGATTGCAGAAAGATCAGAAAGCTCAGCTGAGATGACCAAAGCCTGATGTCCCATCTTCAGAGTGTCACAATGTCTTCCCAATTCAATAGCTGAATGCAAACATTTCTACAAAAGCTGGAGGCTGTCTGGTATTTCAATGCTAGCAGCATTTGAAGTCTTTGCTAGCTGTGTTTCCTGCCTTTCTAAAGCAGAGGATTCCAGTTCCATGCAACCCGAGCAGGATCTCCAGCATCAGTTCTTTTTTGGTCGTTATCTATATTATAGTTTTCTAAAGAATTCTGTGGTGTGCTCTAAAACCTAGGAGTTTTTATTTGGTTAACTGGGATTGGGAATATTTACACTAGATTGACTACTGTCTTCACAAAGGTACCAAATTTCAGATGACTTGGAGCTAATTATCTTATTTGCAACCCATGCTTAAACCTGTATTAAGAGAACTAATGTGCTTGTGCTCTTGATAGAGTACCCAAGGGTATTCCAAGAGGGTTGGGGGGCTTTACATTATCTAATGTTTCTGTTTCTTCATGAAGCCATGATAAATTCCAAATCAAAAAACAAAACTGGAAATAGTTAGATGT